TTTTAAAAACCATTATTACCATTATTATTTACTGTCTCAAATAGTTCATTATAATTGATTTAATTGTTGGAGTGTTTTCGTAAATGATTTAATAAAGAGCTCACATTTCACACCATTGTCTTTGGCTCTATAACTTATAGAATGTTTGCACAAGCTTGGTACTTAACACTCATTCAAAAATCTGATCTTACAAAACAGTTTCATATTTTTAAAGTCAACTCTTAACAACAATAGAAAGGTGATTTATCTCCCTTTCAACTTGTTTATAATTTTTTTATTCTTTTTTATAACAAAGTATTTCTTAAAATTCTAGGCTACCCAAATGGGGGAATATACATTTCTTCTACAGGATAAATGGAAAAAGCTTTTCAAGAACTCTTAGCAAAGGTGAGTGTTCCTATTATTTTCTTCAATGTATATCATTTTCTTTCAATTTTATTAATTAATAAATAAAAATTTCATAAAGGTTGGAAAAAATGGAGGAACTTTTATCTCTCGGAAACAAGTCAAAAATGAAAAACTTAAAGGTATGTTAGGGTTTTTGTATGATTTTATTTCATGAATAAATTTTCTGTTTTGATATTATGTATTTTTTTTCCTGTTTTTTGTATGGATTCAAGAAGACTATATTGAAGTTGGACTGAAGGAAAAAGATAAAATAAAAAACTATATATAGAAAAAAATATTTTATTATGTTTCTGACTTTTTTTTATTACTTTCTATTTACTGTAAATATTTTTTAGATATTTTCGCATTTGAATATATATGGTTTAAGAAAAAAATGTTAGAATCGGATACAAAAATAATATCATACATTAATAGTTAAACGAAATAAATAATAATTTTTATATTATAAATATTTTTTTAGATGTTTTTGTATTTAGACGTTTATAATTTAGGAGAAAAATGTTGGAAACAATACAAAAATAATATTATACATTGATAGTCAAAAAAAAATTGAACGTATAAAATATCTTAGAATAAATTAACTTTTAAAAAAATAAACTACAATTTTGTCTTATAAAAAAATATTATTTTATTTTCTATTTTTTAAATTTATTAAAAGATAATATCTACGAGGAAGGTAAAGTAATATTGAAAAGCATAAAACAGTCATATGCGTAGAGATTCGAAGTTCTGAGAAAGTATATTGAACCTCAGCTCTTCAGCACCACTATATAGCATCATACATCATGTGAAGTGAAATCTACGGATTTGTCTCTGCTAATTTTTCAGACGCTTTGAGTAACAATGCAAAAGTATTGGGAGCAGAACGCTTTTGATCACTCGCCATGTGTTATACGAATTGGGAGGCGTTCTAAAACGAGAAAGTGATATGATACTTTGCCCGAAATGGTGCAGTTGTCCAAGGCAAATGTGGTAGTCAGGAATTCTACATACTGAAGTTGAGATGATTGTTTCAGAAGTTTTGTAATTCTATTCTTTTCTAAGGCCTAATATTTTATATGGGGCTGAAGCAATTTATATCCAAAGCACAATAGCCCAGTCTGGGATAACGAAAAGAACATAGTGGCTAGTGGTAAATGTATATTTTTTTAAGGCTGCACGATTGGGCTCTATATATTTTTTAATTGAATTCTAAAGAATTTGAAAGTTGTATACTCTTTCTGTGTTTAAATAAAAGATGTTTTAGAAAGAAAAAAATTATTTCAAAAATATTAGATGTTTTCAATTCTTTTTTTTAGTGTACTCATTGTTTAATTTACCTTTATAATATTTATTATCTAAAGAAAAACATAAATAATAACTAATAAAAATAACATTAACCATTTTTATTTAATTTTCTTAACAAATGCGAAAAACTTAAAATATCTTTTAGTTAGGAATAGAGAGGACTTAGAAATTTACTATTATTTAAATATTTTTTTATAAACTTTATGTATTATTAGATTGAGTATTGATAATCAATTATTTTAAATTATAGTGTTGTTCAATTGGCTAATCTGAAATTTAGGTTGTGGAAATTTAAAAACATTTTGGTAAAAACATATAGAACAATCGATAGCATCGTAACTAAATCTATATATATATTATACAGTAATTATATATACATGCAGTTATTTATATATAATTATTTATTTAAAATACAAGCTGAAACTTTAAAAAAAAAAAAAAAAACATTTCTCTTATATTTTTGGTATACGAACTTAAGTTATCACATTCTAGTTGGATCAACTTTAATATATCAGTTTCCAAAGCAAAAATTAAATTAAAAACAATTGGGCTAACCTAACAATTGGGCCTTAGGCTTTTTGTTATATCTTTTTTCTTTGTATCTTTATATTAATCTTTAATAAAACAAAGAATTCGAAAAATATTCCATCATAGAGCCCTTTTGGCTAATATTCATAAAATTATATCTCAAATTCTGATCGACTACCGGACCAATACAATTGTGATGGGTTATAGATACTGTTACATTATAACTACAATTAATTTTAATATTGAGTGGAAATAAGATACATGCTCTACCTTTTTACATCATATAATTTTATACACAGATGAATTGTCCTAGTTGTTCAAAAAAAAGAGAATAATACTACTTAAATCCTTATATTTTCATCATCATCTAAACAATAAATTTATGCATAATACGTAATACGAAGAGAAATTGGCATCAATAACCATCAAAAAATTATAAATTAATAGAATAACAATTATAAAGCTTTGGTTAGAATATACTCTATATTATATATATATTAAATACAAAATTTTCCTTATATTGAAATAGTTAGAGAGAGATATGGGGTGAGATTATTGTTTTCTCTAATATTTCTTTTTCTTTTCTTTATTATTTAAATTTTTTCATTTATTCTAATTCTCTCATTTATTTATATTATGCTATAATACTATATGATAATACAATATCTCTAATTAATATTTAAAATTTTGGTTGTACACATGATTTCACATACCAACCCAATATATATATATATATGATTAGAAAGTATGAATCATTTTTAATTTTAAATTTATTATATATATTTAAATAATTTATTAATGTATCAAACATTTAGGTCTTATATTTTATATTTTATTATAAAAATATAGTATAGTGCAATTTATATAAAGTAATTATTTTGTAAATAGTATAGTTTGGTAATATAAGTTGCTATAGTATAGAATGATATGTATTGCTTCCTTTTACAATTTTAGTTTGAGAAGTAAAAAAGATAAAAATTAGGGTTTTTGGTTATTAAATTTATTATGTGAATAGCATGGTTATATTCTTTATTTTGTAGAGTAATATGGTTATTAGGCAAATTGACTCTAATACGAAATATGATCCAATATACAGCTGGTATATATATTGACTGGGGATTTAGATACAAGCGACCTTTTCATACACAAATATAAGATAATTCTACTAAACTTCGACAAAAAAAAAGAGACAGTTCCACTAAACCCATAAACTGACAACCAATAAATTCGTATATACATGTAATATTAATATAATCCAGAAATATATATATATATATATGTATTACTATGACACTATACTATCATAAATGCAAAGCTCTTAATGAAGCAATGTATTGAAATTAACGATTCGAGCCTATTTGTTATATCGCAAGCAGCAACTATGACATCTCACTGTTCCTCTAGAATGGGATGCAGTTACTCTCTGACTACCAAAGAGTTCACAAAATCAAGCGTTAAAGATTCAGAAGTTCACTCTAATCCATAAGGCAAATGGTGGATGTAAGTACGAGCTTCAAAATCAAGAAATCAAGATCAAGATCAAATTTGACAGGTGCTTCCGCTGTCGAGTTTCTATTTGCCATCTTAACGAGACAATGGCAAACGCGAGTATGAAGTTTTGGTTCCACGAACAACGACAAATTCTATGTCTTGAAGATGCCGATTTTGGGATTCTTAAGTTCAAAGGTTGGGGATTACTAGTTCAAGATTAAGGTTTTGTAAAAATCAATAGTCAGGTTTTCTGGTTTCTCAAAACTAATTGCGTTTTCTTGAAGGTTATAAATGATGTCATTTAATTTAACCGCTCTTTGACAAAATATAATATATTAATTTTATACAACAATTTTTATGATAGATGCATACATGTGTGTATATATATGTACATACTGTATATATTATAGTATGTATTAAGTTATTGACATTTTTAAGTAAAGAAATTAAAAGTTAGTACAACAAAACCTAATCAGTTAAATGAAGAGAAAACGAGGGTTTTGTCTTAAAGCCCACCAGAAAGATACGAATGAGAAAAAGGTGGTCCCCACACCACACCCCGCATGTGGACACATTTCAACGTTTTAACAGTGACACCCAAACCGTAACCATCCTTCATCTTAATTGTAAAAATACAAATTTTTAAAAGGTTTATATTTTCGATTAAAATAAAATATGACAGAGAGGGACCTTAGCTACATACTTTTCAAAATCATATATGGCTTATTAAAAAAGAAGAAGAACACAAAATAGGAGAGAGAGAGAGATCAGAGAGAGAGAGAGAGATAGGGCTTTGAGGTTTGTCTCTGTATTATATATACTATACACACATATACATATATGATATATTGGAATAGTGTCTTCTTCTTCATCATCTTCTTTATTATCATTATCATGCATCATCATCTTCTTGGTTCTTTCTTTAGCTCCGATTAATAGCTTTTTGACTATTTTTTTCTTCTTCTTCTTGGTTGCTTTCTCTTGATCTCAGGTATATAAAAAAACAACTTAGAAATCTTCTTCTTAATTCTTTCAAAAGCTTACAAACAAAAAATAAAAATAAACCCTTAATTTGTTTTTCTTTGTTCCCTTCATGTCTTTTAGTGAATTGTTTTTATAAAACTTCTTCATGTCGTCAATCTCTATGGATTCTTCCTGTTCTTAATTCCTCCCTTCGTTTTCTTCTGAAACGATAACTTGATTTCTTTCGCACTCTTTTTTTAACTTTTTTATATGGAATATTTGTAGATTATTATTCTCTTCCACGCTAAGAAGAAGGTCTAAAAATGTCGTCATCATCATATAACACAAGCGTTGCTCCTTCATCATCATCCTCTGCTCAGCCTTTCTTCATCACCGGATCTGGCGCCGGAGATAACGAGTTTGACCGGAAAGATACTTTCATTTCAATGATTCAACAACCTAACTCCTCAGCTCCACCAGTCAAGAAACGAAGAAACCAACCTGGAAACCCAAGCAAGTACCTCTTACATATACATACATATCAATATGATTTACTATAAAAATCACGATAAAGTAAAAAAAACTTATAGGAAATAAAAGAAATATAAGAACCCTAATCTTCTTCTTTTTTACACTCGTATCAAGATTTCATTATTATCGACCGTCTATTAATTTATATGTGTGTGAGATTTGGTTTTCTTTCTATATACATGTTTGTAATTGTTCGTATCATTGTCTTGATTTAGTCCCCGTAGATTAATAGTTTGGATCTGATTGATGCTAAGTTTAATTGATCAAACAGATCCTGATGCGGAAGTAGTGGCGTTATCTCCAAAGACACTAATGGCTACAAACAGATTCGTATGCGATGTGTGCAACAAAGGGTTTCAGAGAGAACAAAATCTACAGCTTCACCGTAGAGGACACAATCTTCCATGGAAACTTAAGCAGAAATCGACCAAAGAAGTGAAGAGGAAAGTGTATCTTTGTCCGGAGCCCACGTGCGTCCACCATGAACCGTCACGTGCTCTCGGAGACCTCACCGGAATCAAGAAGCATTATTACCGTAAACACGGTGAAAAGAAGTGGAAATGCGAGAAATGTTCTAAGCGTTACGCTGTTCAATCGGATTGGAAAGCTCATTCAAAGACTTGTGGTACAAAGGAGTATCGATGCGACTGTGGTACCATCTTTTCTAGGTAACTGATCTCTATCCATTTCATTTAAATAATTTGTTCGTATTTGGTTGAAGTGATGAAACGTATAACATTTATGTGTGTAGTTTCTAGATATATATATACCCTCTTATCTAGGTAAAGCATAACAATTAATGGACCATTTTTTTTTTGTTTTGTACTGAAAACTATTCTAAGTAAAAAGCTGCATTCAACACTGCATGTAAAACTTAGCTTATTTACTAATTTACATGAAAGATACCAAATATATAATATCATCTGTGACTGAAATCTTATATATTTGGCCACGGAATTTGAACCTCGAGTACACCGCCCATGAAATGTATATAGTGAGTATGTACATAGGATCTATCACTGTATTTGTTTGGTTGTTGATGAGTAGTAGTGAATAGAGAAAGACAGTGAGAAATTTAAAAGATGCTAAATTTGGTCACATGTATGAGTTGGATCTGTTTTTCCATTTTCCATTTTTGTTTTCTTCTTCTTCACTTTGCAGGTTCCCCTTTTTATGAAACTCCTCTTCTTATGTGGACCCCGTCTTATCTCTTTCTCTCTCTAGACATATACATACATACATATATAGGTTTGGTAAGAGTGCGTTACATATTTCATTTCAGTGTTCACTTAATGCTGTTCTAGGGTTTCTTTCTTTATTTTCATGGTTTGACTTAAATACGTTGTTGTAGAATGTGACTGACTTATATTATCATTCATGGGCTTTGCATTAAATGAAGTTCTTTCACTATAGTAGCAATTGACTCGACCTCTATATTCTTCTATCATTCTCTCCTATAAATGGTAGCCATAATAAATAACTATAGCATTCATTAATTATGATTCACGTCAATGTATGCATTTAATATCTAATTTTCAATATGTAGATATAAACTAAATTTATATCATACACCGTTCTTTTTCTAATTCCGTGCTTCTTGTTTTGCAGACGCGATAGTTACATTACGCATAGGGCTTTCTGTGATGCATTGATACAAGAGACTGCTAGGAACCCTACCGTGAGCTTCACGTCAATGGCAGCTTCTAGCAGCGGTGCCGGCTCTGGTGGATTTTACGGAAGACTCGGCGGTGGTGGCGCTCTCTCACACCACCATCCGAATTCTGGATTTACACCTCTCGCGGGTTACAATCTGAACATTGCATCGTCCGAAAACAGCCGAGACTTTGTTCCACAATCGTCAAACCCTAATTTCTTAATCCAATGCCCGTCGAGCCAAGGAATGTTGACTGCGCCGCAAAACAATGATCAGAGTTTCATAAACCAACACGGTCTGATCCAGTTTGATCCTGTCGACAACATCAACCTGAAGAGTAGCAACACCAACAACAGCTTCTTCAACCTCGGATTCTTTCAAGAAAACACCAAGAACTCGGACACGAGTCTTCCTTCTCTATATAGCACCGACGTTCTTGTTCATCATCGTGAAGAAAACTTGAACGCGGGATCTAACGTTTCAGCCACGGCACTGCTTCAAAAAGCTACTCAGATGGGTTCAATGACAAGCAACGATCCTTCTGCTTTGTACAGAGGCTTAGCTTCTTCGTCTAATTCGTCTAGTGTGGTTGTTAATGACTTTGGAGGAGGCCATGTTATGGGGAGCGATAATAACGGTAACCTTCAAGGTCTAATGAACTCACTAGCGGCTGTAAATGGCGGTGGCGCCGGCGGCTCCGGTGGCAATATCTTCGACGTTCATTTTGGAAACAATGGAAATATGCGTGGCTCGGATAAGTTAACGTTAGATTTTCTTGGAGTCGGAGGAATGGTGAGAAATGTAAATCGCGGTGGTGGTGGTCGAGGCGGTGGTCGTGGTGACGCTTCTTTGGATGGTGAAGTGAAGTTTCCGGAGCAAAGCCATCCATTTGGAAGACCTTGATAATATCTTATTATTATCAACCTTCTGGTTAGGTGATAATTTTGCTATCTTCGTTTGTTGTTTTCATAATCTATATATAATAGATCTCTAGTGAACTCTTTAGGTTTGGATTTTTATTTGAGTATTTCTTTTGCTAAGGTTGTTATATATATAATAATAATAAAAAGAATGTAAGTGTGGTACTTTGTTGGTGTTGTTTATAGCCGCGTATAAAATATCATGGTTTCGAATGTAGAGAACTGATAAAACGGATTGAACAAACAATATAACTAATGGCTGTCAAAAAAATAAAATTAAAAGGATAAAGAATCAAATGCGGTTAAATGGTGAAAACTTGGAAATAAGTGAATAGAAGAATGTTAAAAACAAAGTTATTATTTTGGCAAAAATAATTAATATGTTCTGAACGTGAACCACTGCATCTATAAATCTTCATATAGGCGACTAATTAAGAACTTAAGATTGGCAACCAAATTCAAGGCGGTTAGAAGTCTAATAGTCTTATAATTGATTACCGTTAGCTGAGCAGGTGAAACGGACTACTGAAATCAGTGTTTAAAAGTATACGGTTAGAAGTTAAAACAATGCTAGATTAAATTTTACAAAATTATAAGCTTTAAATTCCATGGAAAATATGTGTCTTTTTCTAGTTTCTATTACGTTAATTATGTAAATTTACTTTGATTAATTTTACTATATGCTAGTTTGACACCAATCTTAAACATTTTTTAATCTTCCCTTTCAACCAAACCGCTTTTTATTTACCATTACCTTTTTTACCGCATTCTCTATCCGCCGAAAAATTTATCATCATTTCGTGAAAAACGATGTTTAATAAACTAATAACACGAAGAAAGTCTACCTGCAATTTATGCTGTGTATTTAATGTATATTTGAATCATCAGATAAAATCAGTACAACCGTTACAAATAACGTACAAAACCAAAAAGCTTATAATGCATGATTGAAGTTAGCTTTTTCCATCTTTTTGTCTTTTATGTTTATCCTTGATCCATGTTTCAATTTCAAATAATATGTTGTGTTTAAAGTAAGTTCACTCTAAATATTTACTTGAAAGAGATTTTATAGACGAAACCTATGATTAATTTCCTTGCTCAAATTGTTGAATTTGTTTCAAAAAAGAATAGTAGCTAATAAGATGCACATTTTTTTGGAATAGTCAAAGTTTCCACAGTAACATAAATTCCTTAAAAAATAATTTTTTCTATACAACCTATAAAATTTGTAACTTTTGTTTTTATTTTAGTGTTTTGAAACTATCGTTGCACCTGCTTTTCTTTCTTTTTCAAGGGACCCTCTGATCAAATTTGTAGTTCACATAATTGATGTATACGTATAATTAAAGTATAACTACGAGGGTATGTTCAAACGGTTTGATGTCCGGTTTAATTTTAGAACCATTATTCTCCCACTTGGATATATATTTATTAATACCTTGACAAAAAGGGAAGATATATATTTGTATAATTACTAATGCCTACATCAATAGATACTAAATTTAATTCATAAACTATATTACACATCCCACGTTGCACATGCAAATAGATATTAGCATATTCGAAGATTAATACGCCAATCGTATAGGATATATTCCTGTCTAAAGCATAGTCCAAACAGAAGCATCCAATATCTACGTATTATTAATCATGTCGTAACTGAGTATTCATACTATAATAACTGATGAATTTAGAGTTATATACTGCATCTATATCTCAATTAATTTTTTTTTTAATAAAGGGTTTACTAAATTATTGTATATCCATGTAATTATAAATTAATATTTGCTGACAAAAATAATACATCCATAGATGACCAAAAAAAATAAAATAATACATCCATATAGTTATAATTAAAAACTATATATATAAATCCCGTAAATTATAGTAGTAAAAGACAATAAAGAGAAGTCGGCCACCTACAATATTTTTGGGCCGTAAGTACAAAAAATAACAACACATAATAAGTACCTATAATCGACAAACAAATTAAAAGTTACTATTAATTTTATATTTCGTGATTTTCTCTTGTAAAGACTACTTTACTCTAAAAGCAAAATGTTGTTGACATTCTTTTCTTTTCGTCTTCATTGTTAATTTCCCAACGTTGACTATATAGTATATACCAACTCAATTTTTCCATGTCCATATATATATAATAACATCACGTTCGAGCACCAAAAAAACAAATAAATATATTGTAGATATTATTGAAATCTTTCATCTTCTTAAATTGTATATAACAGATTAAAAATCAAAAAAATAATATTGGAATTTATTTAAATTCAAATACATTATCATTTAAAATGATTATATTTACAGTAGTGAAACCAAAAATAAATTTAATAGTGTATATTACTATTACAGAAGGAAACCATTCATGTATGATGTATCCACCAATAAATCACCATTTATTGATTATACATATGTAGGATTTCTAACAAAATTAAATTATCATAAGCGTAACAATATAATACATTGCATCCATATAAAATAGTTGGATATAAGCATCTAAACAATTTTAAAGGTTAAGGACTATATATATGTTTCAAAAGAAATTACACTTCTAAGGTCGTTGTCTCTTTAGGTACAACCGACGTACATGTGTGCATGTTTGTGCGAGGCATCACATACATGACTCTGTGAAAATAAGAATTTTAGCTAACTACTCTGTGCTCTTTTTACTGGATGCGGTGAAGGAATATCAATAGAAAATATATAACTCGAGTTCACTGGTAGACCGAGTTGTAGGGTAAAACCACATGCAATCGGTTGCACTATGCTTTCGGTGAATGGAACATGATAATTATCGAAAGCCCTTGTTCAAAAAAAAAACAAAAAACATGATATATATAGCTTTATTATGGCTATGTAATTTCTGTGACGCGTTATATATGTTTGGAAAATTGCCATAGCCAAATGGCGAGTGCGTCTCTCCATACAATTGTGTTTGATGTTTGTTCGGATTCGCATGGAGCGTCCTACATGCACTTGTGATATGTTTAAGTATGATATTCGGAAGATCGTATCATTTTTCGGTTTACCTTTTTATATAGTTCTGCTTGACGCGGTATTATTCAATATGTAGATCTTAATTTGTTCAAAATAAAATATGTAGATCTTATAATTTTGTTGACTATCGAAAAATTGTGTCTACTAATCTTTTCATTATTTTTGATAGATGTTAAAACTGTACCACTCGATCCAAATAAATGATTGATCAAATAGAATAACTAAGCACATTATCAATGCATCTATTAATTGATGTATGTATGGCCCAATTTGAGATTTCCCCATAATGAAGTGGACCAAAATGAGCAGAAGAAATCTCAAGATTTTTGTAGTATTCATAAACTTTTCTCGACAATCTCTTCACGGGCCAATATTTTTATATTTTCTATCTTTCACATGAACGACAACTCTGCCATTCACATGCTTTTCCCTTTTATTTTTCTTGACAATTTAATTAATATACATCCACTCATATATCTATATATCACTTTTATATAAAATTTCTCCGATTCACAAAATTGAAAAATAAACTACCTATTTTATTTGTAAATATTCTCAGACCGGAAATTTTTCCCTGGGAAATATATGTATATATATGCTGTATTTTTACTAGCTTATTACGAATTTTAATTAGTTGAAATATATTCTGATCATATTGACTAAGAATATTTCAACCCTTAATCATCATAGCATTGTAAATATTAGGCATTTTGGCCGAAGTTAGAAAGGGGATCACAGTTACCACAGACATTCTGTTTGGAAGGGATATATAAAAAAATTGACTTTATAATGACTTTTTTTATAAGAGATTATAAATACGAGAAGCTAAAATAGATATTACGGTATGACAAATCTTAAAGTTGTCAGCAAATCAAATTTGGTTCTATTATTATTATTTTATTTTGATTAAGTATTAATCATATATAAAACTTAAAACTTAAACATATATTTTTACAAAAAAAAACTCACCAATTAAAAAAAAAAATATCTTTCTCTTTTGTTCACATCTGTTCTTTTTGCTATACTGGATGTACTATAGTATACCCAGTCACATCCGCCATCAGGAAAGCCACATTCACACTCTATTCACTCTAATTACTTTTCTAAGCTCACTAAACCAATAGTTTGGATTAATGATCATCTTTAACCAATGCAAAGCCCAAAACTTTTTTTTTACCCGATTTACCGACTCTTAGAAAATTACATGGTCTCTCTTTTTACTTTCACATTATAGATATTTTTGGAGAACATCCCCTATTTATCTACCTGGAATCCAGCCTGACCATGCTACATTGCTACTGTTTCATTGCCTCATTCGCCTCTTCGTTAATGCATTTGTTATGGTTTCTCTTCTAAGTGAGACGCTTTCCATATGCATCTTCTTAGGGACATGCCACGACAAAACATTATCCTATATGGCAGGCTGAAAATGGAGTTACGTCCGCCTTCAAACAGCCGAATCGCTCCTCGTTGGTCCAGTACTACGAGTCTAAGACCCATAAAATCTGATGTTCTCCAACAAACACAACCACCAAAAATAAATTATGAGACTAGTCTTGAGAATCTTGTAAAGTAGCAAGACTAATCAGAGGAACTTACACACAATCTGTTGTTTGACGCGAAAGTCCTTCAAACAAACGAAATAGGGAAAGACCGGTCAACCAAGGGAAATTTGATCGCTAATAAATGAGTGAAAACTGAAAAGTAAAAGAACGAAGGCGTGGATGGTTATGGCAAAAGAGAAAAAATTGGACTAACAACAATGTTCATTCTTCATTTACCAAATGGCCAAAATCCGTAAAGTATATTGATACATAAATATATATATAAAAAAAAAGAAGAGAAACGATAAAACGAAAGAAAATCCGCACTAAAGTTGGAAAATGGAATATCAAAAAGCCCTTTTGTAATTAAACCTTTGTCCACACTGTCAAAATATGTTGTGATGAGCATAGCAAAAGTGACTGCCCCATTCCGTTTTCGTCACAAGCATAAAAGATCGGGTAAATCATTATAGGAGTAGCCAGGATGGAAAAAAAAAAACTCGATCTCGTCTCCCCGATCGATGAGCATGATGCCATGATGGTCTAATCTAATAAAAGCACACTACAAATTTACAGATGTCGCATGCCGTCCTATAGCTAGTGCGTGCGACCCGATCCAGCCATGCAAAACTTTGGTCTACGACGTCATATATTCCATAAGAATACTTTTTTACTACATATAGTAGAAGGGGTGCAAGCTAGTAGTTCAAAACTATTTCTTCCACACATTTTCGTCTTGTTTTGCATGAGTACGCACACACACACACATGTACATTGAATACATCTAAAGAAACACATACCTTATATTCGGAATTTACTTTCTCTTTTCTGTTCACCTCTATCCAAAATCTCTAGCAATACATTTTAATTCGCTCATAGCCACTTCCTAGAGACATTTAATCTCCCTACGGAGAGACCACGCCAACTTCTTAAATCTTCTCTAAGCTTGTAAACAAACATATTCAATCAATGATCACTTTCCGACCAAGGTCCGATTTATTTTTGTCCTTTCTCGTATTTCTCTGACTCTTTGACAAGTTACATGGTATGTTTTTTTTTTTTCACTTGATCATCGGATAATTTTTGGGAAAAGCCTTAATTTGTCCTCTTGAAACCATCGTCGCTTTGCTCTACTGCTTTATGAGCTCACTTGGCTTTCTGTCAATCAATACACAGACGTGATAGCTGTAGCAATATATAAATTTTCTTATCGAACAAAGCGCTATCAGGATGCCTTTTACCATAGAAAAGCTGTAGCAAGCCATATATCGCTTGTAAAGGCATAAGTTATGTTCGCTTCCAATAACTTGAAGAGGGAGAGAATATTTTGCTCTTTAGTGGCCAATTTGCTCATCTTTGGTCCACCAAACTTCATAAAATCCGATGTTTCTCGAGGAGCATGGACTACCCACGAATTACAACCGGTTAGGCAGATTTTGAAAATTCATTTTAAACCAGACCGATAAATTTTGTTTTTGAGTACTTTTATCAAGGAGGGTTAGTCAAATTTTGAAGGTGATTTAAAATAAAAAAAAAACAAAGAGAAAACGATAAACAATAATTTTACAACAACAAAAGAAAATGTATCTTGGTTCAAAGTTTGTAATATGGAATTTATTTTGGTGGTCAAGTTCCGATCACAGAATGGCCATTTCTTTACTGTCGATAATTAAGAAACACATTTTTCTCCAAGTGCATGTGTATTCAACTTTGGATAGGATGCAATTCACATGTATTTGAGAAACAAGAGAGTTTACTACACATGGGTTGATTAACCAATATACCATGAAATTTTAGGAAAAAAAAAATACTTTTAGAACAAATAAGAAAAAGAAAAGATGAGAGAAGAGCTGTCCGTTTTTAGTGAGACAACGATACCATCTCGGGCATCTCTACCTCTCGTTGCATGTCGATGGGCCTCCTTACTTGCATCACTTCTATGTATGTCCTACATTATATATATGATATTATTATTGTTATTCTCCATATAAATTATTACGACAATGACATTTATAATACTATTATTAAATCACTCACTATTTCAACAATTATAGCTGTTGTCAACAATAATATATCTTATGTTCACCCACACACCGCAAAAAAATATTTTTAACCAAAAAAAGCTAAAAATGAAATAAAATTCATAAGAATCTCTCTTTTCGCCTACTCCCAAAAATAACATAAAATTATATTACATTAATATACCAAACGGACTGGATATGAACCGAAATAAATAGATCTAAATTATTGATTTTTTTTATAATGAAAAAATGTTTCCAAACCAAATTCTAAATCGTGCCAAATTGATTTGCATTAGAATTAGTTTTATATTTATGTTATTTTATAGCGGAAAATAATTAGCATCAATAATGTACACTCGTGAGTGTTGAAACAGAATTCTTTATTTTGGACCGTTAAATTTAAATCTGATGGGGACAACCCTTTAGGATATGGTAGGAACATGTTACATACAAAACTATACAAATGCATATATATATATGTGCACATGTGACATGTATGTATATATGTATCGAGATATTTAGAAAGGGGATCACAGGACAAACACTCGTGACATTGCCAGCTAGTGAGGATGACAAATGAAAAGAAATTAAAGAATAAAAAGGCAAATAAAAGAAAATAAAAACAAAAAGACAAAGAAACTTAGCAAAGGCTGCTTGTACTCTCCAAGTCATTGACTGCCCCATGCAATGATAAGACGATAAATGTGTCAGCCAAAACCAAAAAAGCTTTTTTTTTTTCTTCAAAATAAAATAATACAAAACAATTATTCACACCCAAATTTAGCTAAACCCGTTAGTATAGTGTTCTTTTTAGCCTTGACCCTAAAATTGACTCCACTGATAAACAAATTACTTAATTGTTGTAAAACTATAAGCCATGAAAAAAAATAGAAACCAAATATTTAGAACTCTACAAATTAAATTAAATAAATAATGAAACAATGCATAAACTATAAAATCTGAAAATATTATTATTTAAGGATGGAATCCATTGATATAAACTATAAAGGCAAAATCTTTTACAAAAAAAAAAGAGCTGAGTTTAGATAAATTGCAACTAAAATTTAATTACTTCAAATGGGGTTTTGGTGAGGTGACGACATGCATACCTGAAAGATATAGCATGTACTTTGATGAACTAAAAACCTTTGAAAACTTTTCCTTAGAAACTTGCATGATGGATTCCATAGGGTGGTGAACTTGCCGGAGCACCACCAGGATTCGCATTCATGCTGTTTCTATCGGCGGAATCCGACGAAGAGCCAACTCTTTCTCTGCTGTTCCCATGTTGTTGTTGTTGCGGCTGCTGCTGTTGAAACCCGCCGCTTCCACTCATGCTCCTTACGATTTGTCCAACTCCAAGAAAGTCTCTAGTCATGCTTTGTTTGTCAGCGTTTAATCCCTTGTTCACTCCTCCGTACGAACCAAACGGAGAATCTACTCCATTAACGTTGTTTCCCGTTGCGCCGGGGTTAGAGAAAGAATTCATCAAATCATGAAGATTACTCTCGTTTTCCCCGTACATCCCACTCCCAAAGCTTCTTAGAATTGATGAGGCATTGTTATTGTTGCTTCCGTTGTTGTTGTTGTTGTTGCTTGACGTTGAACCCATTTGAGCAGCTTTTTGAAGAAGAGCAGTGGCAGACATGTGAGGTGTTGAATTGGGATTTTGCATTGATGAGCTAAAGAGTGAAGGCACTGCTCCTGAGCTGATTCTATCCGCCGAGCTCATCAGGTTGTTAGGGAAGAGACCGGTGCTTCCTTCTCCTCCTCCGCCCCCAACAGCATTTTCACTATCAAACTGATTCGAAATCATAAGATTACCCGAAGAAACAGCAGCAGCATTAGGATTGCTTGTCGCAGAAGCAACTCCGTTGTTTCCGGAGAGGAAGCTGAGATTGAAGAGATTTGAGGAAGGAGAGTTATGGTTATCATGTGAAAACTGCATCAGACTCTGTTGAAAATTCATTGGCGATGGCTTGATGTTATTGTTTGCAGCCAAAAATCCTTGTTGTTGATGTTGTTGATGTTGATGATGATGATGGTCTTGTTGATCATGAAAGCTAGGGTTTTGGTCTTGCATGAAGTAACCTGAAGCATTTGCAGCAATGAGATCAGAGGAAGAGCGTGAGGCGGCTCCTCCTCCGCCACCGCCGTTTCCAAGTCGGAGAACGTCACTGGACTGATGATCAAGATTCTGTGGGCCCCCCATGTGGGACAAACCAAGGATCATGCTTGAAGTATTGTTGTTGGAGTTGTTGGTGTTTTGTCCGTACGGAAAGTGATGACTTGGCAAAGAAGTCAAAGAAGTTGGGTGTCTCGCACTCTCTTGAGCCAACGCGTCACAGAATGCTCTATGTGTAATGAAACTGTCTCGCCTGTGACACAAAAAAAAATAAAAATAAATTATTTAATTCACAATGGAATCTATTGGATCGTCAGGTATATATAATTAAATGATGAAATAAAAAGACATATTTTGGGAAAGGTGAAAGAAAAAAATATTTATAAGTAGAGAGAGAGACTCATCATGTCACGTAGCTACAAATAGATTCGCGTGTAATTATGGGATCTTGAAAAGTAGATAGATAGATGGCTACAAAGTCACTCTACTACTCTATCATACATCCTATTATTATTATTTCACCTATGTAATTTTTTTAACAGCTTACACACTCACATGCATTGATGCATATACAAATAATGCACGCATATACATAAATAGGAGTACAATGTTGTGTCACACTTCAACTATGGTGATGTATATGTCTATATGATTATGCGTACGAACAAATTTATAAATCTATCTATATCAGTATATGCAATAATAAATGAACATAAACATTAATTACTCCGGAATTATTATGCACTAGACATGCTCGTCATTGCAGACTATAATTTATCTATATATGCGTTAATGTGTCTATATATAAATAAATGGGTATTCAAAATTAAAAAAAAAAAGTAGGTGTAAAAAGTTAAGTCTCACAATAGTATATGGAGAGAATGATTGTCAAATGAATATATCTGAATCTGTCTTAATTTAAGATCCTGTAAGTTCAATAAATGCAACTTGAGCATGTATTCAATGCATGACTTATATACTCCATACATTAAAGTATATAAATGTTTAAATAACTACTTATGTATATAATATTTATACCACCATTTTTATCTACCTCATTCCATTTATAGAACTCTAAATGCACGCACACACATGAACACAGCAATGCCAACCGAAACTGAAAAAACTTCATTTTAGAAATTATTTTGTAGTATATAAGTTATCATTTCTATGCAATTTAAATCCATTTTATGCAACTGTATATAATGAAACCAAATTTATTTTGTTGTGAGTGTGGTTATGGGCAAAATACAAACGAATCATAAAACGAAAAGTGTAATTTAGTAAAAATTTACACATAAGAGAACAAACACTATAACAACCCTCTAGATATTATATAGTTTAGCAGCACGTGAATTGCCCATAGTATAAGTATAGTTTTAAATCTAAGAAAAAATCTTGAAAAATATATTAATTTATTTATGTGACAGAAAAAGGGCGGTGTTTCCAAGGCAAAAATATAGTAAGAAAAATAAAAGAAACTGAAATTGGTCCTCTTTGGTTTTGAGTTTCTGCTAGAAAGCATCTAATGAAAATATGGCAGTTTCAGTGTCATATATAGATAGTTATATGCACACACATTCACGTGTGTGTTCATGTATCAATTTTGTTTTTTTTTAAATATATTTAAAAAACAAGAATTAAAGTTACATATACTGCACGAAAGAAAGCGATAAGAGCATCGAAGACTTCGAGGCGAAACAGAAAGTGCACCTAAAATAAACCCTAATCCACGAAGAATGACTCACGGACACATAATGACACACATATCACTTGGCTATATATGATTAATTCTGATTTAAATAATTTGAAAGATGTCGAATATTTACCGAGAGAAGAGTGTACCACAGTCACAGCGATATTCTTTGGTACCACAAGTCTTGGAGTGAGCTTTCCAATCCGATTGAACTGCGTAACGCTTAGAACATTTCTCGCATTTCCACTTCTTTTCACCGTGTTTACGGTAATAATGTTTCTTGATTCCGGTGAGGTCTCCGAGAGCACGTGACGGGTCATGGTGGACGCACGTGGGCTCCGGACAAAGATACACTTTCCTCTTCACTTCTTTGGTCGATTTCTGCTTAAGTTTCCATGGAAGATTGTGTCCTCTTCGGTGAAGTTGTAGATTCTGTTCTCTTTGAAACCCTTTGTTGCATACTTCACATATGAATCTGTTTGTAGCCATTAGTGTCTTTGGAGATAAGGCTATTACTTCTGCATCGGAATCTAATAAAAAGAAACAAAAAGACGAGGGTAAAAATATTGATTAATTAAGGGATTTGTTTTATATTGCATGGTACATAATTGATTAAAATCTGATTTTGGAAAATCAAAAACTAGGATTATGCTAATTTGCTTATTTCAAGATTTGAAAATTGAGAAAAGCAAGAAAAAAGGGAGATGAGAAAGGGGTTTCTCTTTTTCACCGATCAATGTTTTTAAAATTGATCACATGATTTTATAAGATTAAGATAATAAATTTTCAATCAAGGGATAGTTAACTTACTTGGAGTTCTTGGTTGATTTCTCTTCTTTTTCTGCGGTGGAGCTTCAAGGGGTTGCTGAGGCAGCGGTGGCTGGTGGTGAGGAGGAGGAGGAGGAGCAGCGGCGGAGGAATTAGGAGGAAGGAGGTGAGATTGATCATCTTGTCGAACTCCAAAGAAGGAAGCCGCAGAGGATGAAGAAGCAGCCATGGATTCTTCTGTGTTCTGTGTGATGGTGAGAGAGAGAGAGAGGAGAGGAAAAACAAGAGAAATAAAATGAAACTAGAGAGAAGAAACTCTTAACATTAAATTCTTTTTTGACTTCCACTGATATCTTATCTCAATAAAGCCCTAAAAATGGGATGTTCCAGATTTTAAATTAATTGTTAATAAAATTTAAGAGAATTAAAAAAAGAAGCAGAGAAATTTATGTGAGGTAATAGAAGATGAAAGTGACAAGTGAAAACGAGTGCAATGCTAGTAAAAAAAGAAAGAAAAACAAAATTCATCAATTAAATAGCCTATAGAGTGTTAAAAGTTCATGTTCGGTTTTATAAAAAAGGTAAGATAATCAAATTAAATAAATCTAAATCTAGCTGGGTTAGTGTATAGTTTTAATCTTATTAGTATAATTATACTATATATATAATATACATAGGATACTAAAAACTCTATACATTTTTATTTATATAAATAAGATATTGTTTTGTTTGTTACGCATTTGAACTAAACTATTTTAAACAATTTGGGTGTCGACTGTAGACACTAACACCTATACAGAGAAATTGATTATTTATCCGATTTTTTTTTCTTTTGAATATGTAAATAAATTTTAGAAAAAAGAAAGTATGAGAGAACTACAGAGGTCGGTGGACCCAATCCATTTGCCACAAAACGACAGTGGATGGTGCGTGAGACAACCCTCAACAGCTCCTCTCTCTCGCTAACATATGTGAATAAATTTTAAATATTTTTTTTTCTGGATCTAAAAACTTTTATAAAACAGATTTTTATATCGTAACTATGACATTAAAATAATATAGAAGAAGATATTTGACATTAACATAAAATATCAATACCAGTTTGCGCTTACAAAAAAAAAATGTTTTGCTTCGCATATCTAACCTATATAGAAATAATTTGTTTTATGTATCTTAAAGAAACGAAAATGTTGGAATTTTGTGCGTACGTAAGATTTAACTTATTTTTAACATTAACCAATTTCTAAAAATTATGGAGTAGATCCAAATATATGATTTTTCTTAGTTTGAAAATGAAGTAGTTGTTTAAGTTATCGAGCATATATAACATGCTTAGATATTTCTACTTCTGAGCTAGGTATAAGAACTAATCGACTATGTTAGTTTAAAAATAATACTAACTTCTAAAAAAGGTATGTTTGATGTTTCCGAAAAAGAAATTTTAAATTTTGAAATAATAAATTAACATTGATTATGTCATATTTTTAATTCCATTATTTTTTTCATAATTTAATTTTAAAGCATAAGTTCTCTCGACTTTTCAAAGGTTAATCCACAAAGCATCTTATATATATTTTCTTATATTCTTAACAAAATACGATTTATTTGTCACAATCGTCATCATCATCTCATATGGGTCTCTATTTTGTTAGTTTTATAAAGTTCCTATCATATCATATTACATATATATATATATATATATACATGAACGTATGTCTGTCTGTGTGTGTCATGGAAGGTTGAATGTGAAAAGAGATATTCCAAAGATAAAAAAGGACAAAAGGAAGAATGATTGTATATATTTTCATGTATGTGGTAAAGTAAAAACCAAAAAGGAGTCTCAAAATTTTAACGATACAGTATTTCGTCGTCTCTTTCCATACTCAAGCAATTAATCAAATAATCTAATATAGTGTCATTTGAAAAATCTATAGTATTAGTCAAATACCTATTATAATTTTGAATATGCGTATATATGACATATGAAGGAGATTTACAAACAATCTTTAGCAAAACTAATATTAAATAATTAAGTTCAGTCTTTTCTCCAAAGAGAGAGATCAAGAAAATGAACCCATTTCTGTCTGGGTCTTTGTTAAGATAATCCAAAACAAATATGAAGTTATTAATTGTTTTATTTGCACTATTATTTTTGTTATACTAAGAATTTTCAGGAAAAGGAATAATAATTGCCATTCCCGATAACAATGACACTTGAACCGTAACATTTCCTCTCACATATTCGAATAGAAATTCTTTCAAATCAACAGTTACTATATACAAATATATTTAAACAAGGCAAGATTTAATTAAAGAGGGAAAAAGGAACTTCACCTCTTTTAGCTCGTCGAGTTTGAGGTAAGATTTTGAAGCGTTCCTATCAGTTTCTTGGCTCTAAGTATGAAATAGAGGGCCATATATATACATAAATTTTATATACACACACAGAAAGCATGTACATAAATGGGTTAAAGTAAATTTAAGTGTTAATACAGTTTTGCTATATAACATTAACTACATTAATTAGTTACTTTAAAGCTTCCAAATCATTTAAATTACAACTGGACAAAAGTTGTTAAGAGTAATTACCATTTACATATAATTTACTTTTGTAAAACAATACCCATTGACTCCTTAAATATTTACTATTTTAACCTCCACGTGTGAGGATATAAGAAATGGAAAAATATTTTTTTTTAATTTTTATGCAATTATTTTTTAACTGAAATTTTATTCTCAATTTTTTTTTTTTTGTAAATATTACCATCATATTTATAGGACGCTGAAATATAAATCCGAATCATCTAATTTTTGAGAAATTATAGCTTTCAAATGCGATAATAATTATGTCGAAAAATATATAATATCACGTTGGATGTCCAGTATTTTAATTCAGTTGTTTTGATTCTAATTGCATGTAACTTTCATATCAGTGGTAGACTGTAGATACAATATCATCATAATTTATGTTTCAATATCTATAAAATTATGTTCTAAACATAGAACTTTGATACAACAGATAAACTTAGAGTTCTATGTTAAAAAAAAAATATTGGGGTGAGAAATAATTTGGACCAAAATTAAGTATGTTCTTTAGAATTTTTCATTAGAAAACAATACATGGATATCTATGTCATTTACAATTTATTTTGGAAGTTCATATATAATTATTGCTAACAATGATTATGAACTGTTAAATAGATATTTTGCCGCGTGTAAATCATGTAGAGTTCATAAATCTTACATATCTATCTTATTTGTCCCATGGTGAGTTACTGAGTTTATAAAAAAATTATATTTATCTTAAACAACTCACATTTTTGAGCGTTACAACAATAACTTGAGATTTTGTCTTTACAAAGAAATAAATTACAATAAATTTTGAATGATTTTGGACACGTGGTTAGTAAAATCAAGTTTTCAAAATAAACTATATATATACTACCTAAATACTTATATTATTATATAGAAATCCCGACCAAAAAAAAATATTATATAGAGAAATATGGTGGTGCATGAAAATATGTTTTAAGTATGACTATTTGCCGAAAAACAAATTATGTAATCAAGTTCATCTGTCTTTAATGTTATTTATTATGTTTGCCGAAAAAAAATAGTATGACTATTTCTATTATAAAACACTAGGTATATATCTGCGCTATGCTGCGGGATATATTTCTAGTTTTAATATAATAAAATTATTTTTATAATATAAATTAATATTATATTTATTTTTTATTAGCTTAAGTTATGTATTTATATGTTTTAAATATGAATAAACATTATATATCCTTAATTTTTTTTATTTTTTAAAATTATAATCTACTATCAAATTTGTTTAACTAACTATCTAGAAATATATATGTAAGAATAAAATAATATATTTTAAGTACATTTATGCTAATGGCAAATATAATTTGTTATCTCTATTAAATTGCCACTTGATCCTCCTTTGAGATTATATAAAGCAAATTGCCATTTAAAAAACCTGAAAAATCGCACTTTCCGATAAAACAAAAAAATTTCATTTCACATATTCTTGTCAAAACCAAAAATATTCATTTTCTCGTCATATTTGGAATTTCATTTTCACACCAAAACAAAGAAATTATATTTTCCCGCAAAAACCAAAAAATCATATTATCCTGCGAAAACCCGTATCAAGTTTTTTCACCAAGACCAAAAAATTCATTTTCCCATGAAAACCGAGAAATCGTCAATTCCCGCAAAAAAAAAATCATCAAACTATAAATCAGGCCTTCCTACCAAAACTGATAAACTATAATTTTTCACAGAAACCAAAAATTGTATTATCTCATGAGAAATTGTGCTTTCCGCGAAAACTAAAAAACCGTATTTTATCACGAAAACAAAAAAATCACATTATATATCAAAAAACTGAAAATTTGTATTTTCCATCAAAACCGAGAAATTGCTTATTCCTTCCAAAATCGAGAAATTTTGTTTTTCCATCAAACTGAGAAATTGCATTTTTCGCCAAAATCTTCAAATTACAATTTTCCACAAAAAGTAAAAAATCACATTTTCTCGAAAAAACTCAAGAAATCACATTATCCATCAAAAGCCGAAAATTTGCATTTCCTATCAAAACCAAGAAATCATATTTTTTGTCAATTGAAAAATTGCATTTCCCTCGCATTTTCTCGTCAAAACTAAGATATTTTGTTTTCGCGTCAAAATTAATATATTTTTTTGTTTTCTCACCAAAACCAAAAATTCATATTTTCCGCCAAACCCGATAATTCATTTTTCCGCCATAACCAAGAAATTATGTTTTCCTAGCAAAACTGAAAATCACATTTTCCTGCTGAAACCAAAGAATTCTCTATTCCAGCTAAACCCATGAAAATTTGTTCAGAGTAACTACTGGAAATGCGAATCTCCAAGTCATGGTGGTCTGAGCTTCTTCTCATTTGCTTTCGACTTCTATTTTTTTGTAAACTTTTGGGCTTTTTAATGGGTCTGCAAAATAGTAAACTGATTTTATTAGTGTGTGAATGACATGTATTATTGTTATGTTTTTATTGGTTCAAAATTTTGTTGATGTGTGAGCTTCTTATAACATAAGGCTTTTTGCGTTGTTGTTATGGAAACATAGTTGTTGATGAGCCTACACTTTTTAAATCATATACGTGTCTGTCAAAAAAACAAATAGCTAAAAAAATTATTTATTTGCTGTTAATTATTATTGGGATTTGGGTTTGGCAAAAAATAAAACAAAGATTTAATTTTTTTTATTTGCTGTTATTTATTATTTGAACTTGTATTTGACAAACAATAAAACAAAGATTTTTTTTATTTGATGTTGTTTATTATTTGGGCTTTGATTTTTTAAAAAAATAAAATAAATTATTAACAAAAAATGTATTTGGATTTTTAATGGGTTTAAATTTAAAAATTAAAATAAATAGATGAGTTGTATTAATGTTTTAATTTGATTGGTTTGTAAAATAGCTGATGTGTCAGCTTCTCAAATATTAAAAAATCTGATATGTCAACTTATGAAGAGACTTGAGTATTATTGTTGTATTAATTTAACTTTATCCGTGTATATAAAGTCCACATTAAAACGTTTGGCCTAATAAAGTGTAGTGATAAATACATTTTCTATCATCGAAAATTGATTTCTAACACCATGTAAATAAATACTATAAAAACGCAAAAAATTTCTGCTGATCAATAGAATTAAGTTCATAGTTGACAAATCTTTCTGTGTGTTTTTTTTGGGTCAAAATCTTTCTGTGTGTTTAATTTCAAGTATTGGGTAGGCCGTTTCAACAAGAATAACCCAAAAACAATGGATATAAAGCCCATAAATTTGGGTGATCAAAGCGTTAGAAATAGTATAATACAGTAGTAAAATTCAAACGAGTATAGATCGTGTATGAGTTCATACCAACTTTAGTCCAGAACGAAGATGTTAGTATTACTCCTTGTGAATGGGAGGATTGTAATACTTTTGAATTATGTAAATTTGACAAGCAAAACTTTCTTTTTAAAACATTGATATATATATATATATATATAATCAAAATGCATCTATCTTCCCGATAATCCCTTCACTTTCTGTTCACAGTTTAGCATGCTTGATATTCAATCTAAAGATGAATGATCTACTTAGAATTGTTTTTTTTCCGTGTTTTGCCAAAGTAAGTACAAGCATGGAGGAAAAAGCTTTTGTGGTGATTTTCAACTCCAATAAAAATCTTTTAATTTGTTTGGAGTAGCGAACCAATCGTTAAATGAATGTGGGGTTCATAGACCGAAAATGGGCAATGGGAATAAAAATGAGTCTGGTTGGGGGACATTGCACTATGCGTTTATAATAGTAATGATACTTTCAACTAGTTTTTTGTTTTTTTTACAATGCCGATATTTAAAGTATAAGACTCAAATCAATATAAAACGTTTCAAATTGTAAATATTATCATTGTTATGTGCATTAATTATGGTTACATTTTATCATTTTGTTCATAAGTCTTGCTTCGTAATCTATGTTGTTTTGGGTCAAAACTATCTCTTCTTCAGTAAAAGAATAAAATCGTGTCATGTGGGTACAGACGCCACATAGACATAAAGTTCGAAAACTAAGCCATTAGCGATATAGTTCGGTCAGTTTCAACATAATTCAGATCACTCTCCGTGTTTTTTTAACCATATATACCTCTCGATAAATAAGATAACCAATTATGGGTTAGCTATTTTCTTAAAACAAAAACAGCTATCTTTTTTTAACCATATATACCTCTTGTTTAATTAAACAAATTCTAAAAGAACATGTTGGACTACAAAATCTCATTGCAACGTTTTGAACCCCTATAATTTCTTGTAGTTTGGTGTTCTATTGATTTTCTATCAAGACACTACACTAGTGTTCATGTAGAGAGTGTTGTTGCTGTATAGATCGCACGAAACAAAAACTGCTGCAAAATCGTATCAAGTAAATATCTAAGAGAAGTTGCTATCTTTAAAATAATGAATATAATGTTCTGTTTAATTTAAGCAAATGGCCGATATCTCGTTTAGTCCTATGCTCTTACCGCCTCCATTAGTTAATGTTATATACTTAATTAGGATTCTTTCAACTACCATATATATACTGAAGCATGAACCAAGTTATTCTTGAAATGTAGACATATGTGTATTATCTGCCTGTGTGGACACGGTCTTGAAGCATGATATTTGTTTTAAAATGTGTTTGGGGACAATGAACTTGACAATTTGTATTCTATGCGTCTCTATAAGAACGATCCATGATTTTACAAAACTTTGGCTTCCCTTTCTCTTTCTTCTTCCTATAAAAAAAAAAATCTCAAAACAGTTTCTCTATGTACACTGTTAACACACACACAGAAGATTCACTCTTGGGATTCTCCTGGTGGCTCGCTCTCTTCTTCATCCATAGAATCATATCGCCGAAGTGAATCAAGACTGCAAAAAGAAAAATTAATCATTAATTCCCTTAATTAACAATCATAAATCAAAAAGAAGTCGATGGAGAATTAAACAAAAACCTGCAATTCTGTGGGACTTTCCAGGAGAAAGCAGAGGACTGTTTAAGATGAAGTGGCAAAGCCATGAAGTCTCTCCAATCTTGAAGCATGATTCTAAGATCATGAAGCTTACTATCCATACCGAAGCAGCAATTTGCATGCATCGTACGAACAAGATTCATATCTTTGCTTGGCTCACATAGTCCACCGAAATACGCCGTGTTCAAGAACCTGATCCTAACCCCGATATGCGAGACGAAAGGTTCCTTCTTGATGAAATTAAGAACGTCCTGGTCGTGATATCCCGCGTATTTGATCCGTGAAGCGTACCAGAACTTGTAGAAGCGTATGGTCCGGTTATTGGACCTCACGAAGCTAAACCCTCCGTTCGGTCTGTTCTCAAGATCGTTCGACCTTCCTAGGTAATGGTCACAAGCAATCTGGAAATCAGCATTCCTGTAAAACCTCGGGAAAGGGTTCCTGAACCACATCACATCAGCATCCTGGAGAAGAAGAATGTTAAATAGAACCGAACAAAGTTTCTTTCACAGAGAGTCGTCGATGAGCGTGGAGAAGAAGTTCTTTTACCGTGAAAACGAAGTTGTAGCCCATTTCAAGAACAGACCGAAGGAATTCGATCCTTCTCCACATCATTTTCAGGTAAGAACGAGTCATGAAGTAAGCCTCGCCGGAGAAATCAACCCCTTCTGTTTCAAGGCTGAAACAATGCTTATGCAGCTCTCGGCAACGGGAATAGGCTTTAGCATCCAGAGCTACTATCACCAGGTGGTTCAAAAGCATGCTTGTTCCTTGGCCGATTCCGAAACTCTCGAAGAAGAGATCGATGACGGATCCTGGAGCTGCCCAGGCTTCATTCAAAGTTGTCAAAATCACTGTACCGTCTCTCGTTGCAGCTCTACGCAGAACATCTTCTAGCTGAGGTTCTTCAATTTCCTGGTATGAAGCAAAACCACAATGGTGAAATCCACAAATTCGATATTAAGCACCACAAAAATCGAGTTTGATTTCTAAATTTTGGTGCCATTTCAATGTTTCATAGCACTAAACACAGGAAGAACCAGATTTCGGAATCTTTCTGGGCTCGATTGTGATCAAAATTAGCCAAAGTTCATGAATCAACCAATCAAATCCCTAACTATAAACCAAGAATCGTACTCTACTTTCGTCGAATCTAATTCCTAGAAAACACAAAAACACCGACTGACAATAACAACAATGCGAGAAGAAGAAACTAACCAGAGACTTGAAGGAATCGTAAGACGGTAGAATGCGAGAGATAATCGAGGAGGAGGAGCCATGGACGATGTGGAGAGATTCAGCGGATTTGTAGAGGACGAAGCAGGAGATGGAAATGGCGAAAAGGAATATAACGGCTACCGGACCGGAGCACGGCGGCATGACGACGGAAGCTGCGGCGGCGAAGGAACGATTACCGTCGTGAGACGAAACGTTGAGTCTCGCCGTCTTGAGCCTCGAGCCAACACGGTGCGATAGATTCATCCACACCGACCATCGTCGGCACGGGAAAAAATGGTAGTTTCTAAGATTTTTCTTTTTTTGAAAAATTAATTTTCTTTTTAATTTTTACTATTTGTACCAAGAGAAAACGGGTGACAATATTAATTCAGAAAATTATTTACATACTGACAGGATATGAAAAATAAATTATTTTATCCTGTGAATATATGAACTGTTAAATACAGTAGATATTTTGACTCTAAACCCAATTATGTAACTTTAACTCTAAACCCAATTAATGAATTATTACAGTTGATACGAAACGCTGCGTTTAACTGTTTAGCTGATACTAAACGCTGCGTTCCGCTTGGCTTCAATATTAATTTATTTTCAAGATTTTCAAACTTTTAATCTCGGAAAACAAGAAATCCTAGTTTCACAACAAAATCTGAATGTTTTCACTGCAACTAAATCTAAGAAACAAAGGTTTAATTTACGAATCTCAGCTGCCGAGGAGAGAAATCGAAAGATTAAGGTTAAGATCAATCTTTGGTGAAGAACCAAAGCAATCTTTGAAGACGAATGGTGCTGAACAAGTAGAGACCGCTTCGCTCGTCTCACTCACTGATGATGCATTGCTTCTCCATTGATGATGATGATGATTCAATGACAGAGACAAGGACAAATCCTCTTCTTCTTCTTCGTGTTCTTGTTCGTGCAAAGTATTTTCCCAATTGTTCTTCTCATTCTCTGTTCTCTATTGAGCCAAAAGACGAAATCAGTTACTTCTAAATGATATGATGTGATCGAGTTCTAATGAGAGCACCAAGTCTCAAAGACAAATAATAATTAAACCGGACTAGTTTCGGTTTTGATTTGATCCAGTTTCAATCAAACCGGTTAAGACTCAAAACCAACTTAAATGCCACTTCTTATGGATTGTTATGAAGATCTGAGTTCTAATGAGCCTAAGTTTCAAAGACATTTAGTAACTAAACCGGGATTTTGAATTTGACCCCGGTCTCAATCAGACCGGTTGAATAAAATACGTGTGGCGAAAATGAATAAATTAAATAAAAATACCTTGAGGAAAGGATGTGACTGGAACGTCGTCGTTTCTTTCGTCTTCTTCATGTTCATGATGTGAAGAAAGTCATCATCATCATCATCACCAGAGTCTGAAGTCTGCTCCGTTCTCCTTCCTCCTCTGCACAAAAGTAAACAATAAATAAAATTAAAAAGGACAATTCAAATACAGACAAAGAAAAGTATGTATATATTATGATAGCTTTTCTGCAGCAAAATTAAAAACATGTCAGAAATTATATAAAAATAAAATAAATGAAATACCTAATTGAAGAATGTGAAGAAAGAGGAAAGGAGTGAAAACCCAAAAGACAATCATTCCTTGTGTGTAAAGACAAGTTGTCATGAAGATAATCTTCTTCGTTGTCTTGTCTTCTTCTTATTGAAGATGAAGAGCTTTCCTCTGTCCCCAAAAAAAAACAGGAATTAAGTAATGGCCATAATGAATATTCTCTTGATCTATAAAACTAGAGGTACTCATTTTCTTGTTTTCATATTTTTTAAAGCAAAATATATATATTTATGACAATTGTCTTATGAATCATGACACTAGACCAATAGTACATACTACAAACAGATACAGTAAAACAATTAATTTCGATCCATTATTATAGTTTTGATGTTAACAGTTCAAAATAAAATCAACGGTCCCATATCATTTCAGAATATTTTTACGGAAATTTACAACTACAGCAAAAAGGATTTTATAAAAATAGCAGTACCTGGTTTTCCCAAAGTGAGCTTAGAACCTCTATACATCTGTGATAGAAAAATAAAAAGAGAAAAGGTGCTTTAATATTCAAGATATTATTACGATTAAAATTATAAGGATAAGAGATATGAGGATAATTTTTTTTGCTTAAATCTATTACCTGAAGATGGCTTTTGACATGTGAAATGGTGAGTCCCTTCACATCCATCATCTTTAGAACAAGCTTTGGAGTTGCTCCTGTTTCATCAAACCCAACAGATACAAAAAAGACAAAATTTTAAAAAGGTAACTATTATGATTATTTATGATAACTATTTCATGGGAAGATAATGAGAGAAACTGCAATACTTTATTAGAAAATTCAAAAAGCAAAAAATCCGAACTTTAAAGCAAAAGTATGAACGAAACCAAAAAAAAAAAGGTAAAGTTTGAAGCTTAGTTCAAAAACTTGACTAAGATGATTTCTTTAGAATGATGAAGACAAAGAAGTGAACTTTTTTTACGAAAATCCTAAAAAAAAAATCCAAAACTTAAGAGATATGAATCAAACAAATAAGCAAAAGTGTTAAGGCTTGGTTCAAAAACTTTGACAAAGATGATTCATGAAAATAAAAGATGAGAAAAGTTCAAATCATTTTAGAAATATCGAAACAGAGTCCTCACTTTAAGACACACGAATAAAAGAAAGAAAGAAACGTACTATGTTGGCCACCGAGCATATCGACAGCGTTAACGAAACAACGGTGGAGATCCGGCGTCCATCTGAGTCGAGGCACCGGAGACCGTACGTATGGCCTAACTCCGCCGCCTCCGTGACCGTTAAATCCAGCGCCGTTATAGTTTCCGTTACCGTTTCTCCCACCACATTTACCCATTTTTACAAAAAAATAACCACTTTCAAGAACCCTAAAAACTCCTCTCGATTTGAAATACCGAAACAAGATTTGATTTTTCCTTAAACCCAAGAAAAGAGAATTTGATTTTTTTCTTCAAACTCAAAACCGAAGAAAGAGAAACGAAGAGGGAGAGAGAGCCCTGAGAGAGGATTTGTGGGTATGGGTTGGATTAAAAGAGAAAGTTTTTTTTGTTTTCTGATTTGGTTTTGGCTCTTTCTAAAAGATGACTGTCTCTTTTTCCATCTATTCTTTTTGTCTTTTTGGATGCACTCATACTTATATCTCTCTATACATATATATATCTGCATAAAGCCAAATATAATGATAATTATAACTTTAGAAAAAGCTTCATTCGTTTTTGTTTGCCGGATATTCCATTGTAGTTGTGTTTAAGTAGGATTTGAATTGATTTTGATTTTGGACTTTGTTTGATAGTTTGGTTTAACTAGAAATACAAGAATCTAAAATGATACTACTTAATTTAATACATCACTTCGAGTTAAATGTTTAGTACGGTTTTGGTTTGGTTGAATAGTATAAATGATATTTCATCTACAAAAATCTACAGTAAAAAGAGTTAAACTCATAAATAGACAATTATAATTCTTTTGTTTATGTATTTATCATGACATACGTGACGATTTGACTATACGCAAATCTCGTAAAGTCAATTTTTGCACTTATTTAGACAATTAAGACTATCAAAAGTTCAAAACTAAAAAAATAGTATATTTTTATATTATACTTTTTCTGTTTTCTTTTATAAGATGTTTTAGAAAAAAAATTTGTTCATAATTAGATGATGTTTTCAAAAATCAATGCAAAAAGTAATTATTTTAATTATTTAAATTTTGTATATTATATTTTTATTAGTTGAATTGTTTTGAAAATGATGTTTAATTTTGAAAAATGAGAAAATTAAATAATTTTTTAATATATATGCAAAACCTTAAATATCTTATATAAAAAAACGGAAGTGTATATTAGTAAAGGCAGATCATAGAATAACCAGCTGGAATGTTGTTAAATTATAAAGAACTTTATTCAAAAAATGAGGTGACATACTGACATGTGTTTTTGACCTACAACTACAAGGATGTATATAATCTATGGTAATCAATCATACGAAAATTCATTTGACTTTGGTTACATTAGTCTTGACTCTTGACCCCATTCATTATTATCTTAAATATTTAAACATTTTAATATTTAAACATTTTAAGGAGAATCATTGCATATCAACGTACCAAAAATCTGCGCAAGGCTACATATACAACTTGCATGAATATAAAAAACAGTATTTTTAGATCCGAATAGTAACCCTTCTCACAAATTATCGACCAAATAACATACATTTTGTTAGCTGGCAAAATCATATCTTTGTCATTAAAAATAAATAAAATTTACTACTATTTACCTTATAGTGTTTGGGGTTTACCCAAATGAAGAAGTTTCCTCTACACCTCACAAACTTTACTCGTTCTTTTTCACCATAGGTTGTTTAGACCAAATTAAAATTAAAATTGCCCAACTGCTAAGCTTTGACCATAGCATAATTATTGTTCCTATTTTTTCTCTTTTTGGTTTCTTAGGGTTTCGTGTTTAACTTTCTGATTTCAATAAATCAGAATTTTACAATGGTCCTTCGTATTGTCTTTTGGACCACCGTTTTGACTTCATTCCCCTAATTCCCTTTTGTTTTCTCCCATTTCCCATTCATTTTCCTCCTTATTCTATTTTTTTCTCTTCCCTATTAAATTGTTTGGAATAAAAAATATTATAGTAATAACAATGCTGTTTATATTCTTATTTATTTTCCCCAAATTATAAACGTACCCCCAAACTCTGGATCATTTGCATATTGTTCTCTTCTTCTTTTTCATTTTTTCCCTTTGCACATCGAAATCGAAGACTATTCAAATCATCATATCCCTATGTGTAGCCCGCAATAATTACAGATTGTGAATGTTATATTTACACTTTAGTTCTATAGTCTGTTCTGCTCTGAAACCAACCTTTGTTGATAATCATCTATTCATACAAAATAAAAAATAAAAAAGGGTGCATATTTAAAAAATTTAAAGGAACCGAACCAACACCACCCGATTACGTACGCGTACGTATTTGTGTGGACACGATTATACAAGTAGGATTTCATTTTCCTTGTATTCGAATTCGACAATTGTTTTACTCGTATAATTAAACATCAAATATTGTTTTACGTATACGTAAAATTACAACTGATTATTAAGAGAGTTTAACACGTGGTTTCACGTGGTATCAAGAATTGTAAAACCAAATGAATATTCGATTAAGAGAATAATAATTAATAATAAAAAATTTAACAAAGTCGTCGTCTTTATTCTATACAGAAATAAGACCTTTAACCCAACAAAAAACATAAATCAGACATAATCAAATATGTAAAATCTACAGTCTACACACAAAGTGGGGTCACTGACCTTTATTATAGACTACTATGCTCTGCCTTTTCTTCTCATTCATGCACATTCTCTATATTATTATAAAAACGTGGAATTCTTCTTATATACTACCAAATTTTGCCTTAATGATTGAAGGGAATTACAATGCATGGTTGAAAAAGGTTAATGTTTGATTAGACGGTAATTAAAATATAATATTCAATCACCAGCTTTTCAAAGATACACGAGTTACGTATATTATCTGTATATTGACCACAAAAATACTACAGAAAGTTTATCTAAGTTATGGTTGTCGATTGAAATAATTAAATAAAAACGTTCCAAATGGTTTTTTTTATCCTGTTTTAATTGTGAAAAATTGTATGATCTTTAAATAACCAGATCTAAAATTTTATTTTTGACCATTGATCAAACTTTTAGTTTAAAATAATAATTTTTCAGTTAAAAACGCCATGTTTTAGTTAAATTAATTGGCTGATTTGTATAGCCAGATATTTCAATAAAAAATGGTATTTCTATGAAACTTTTAACATCCAAGAACTATATAAAATTTCTGAATCACACACATTTCATAAACTAGGATTTGAATTAATTTATCATATGGTTCACTCATTTAGCATTGACTGTTGAACTAAAAGACTGAATTGTTTTTCTCAAGCTTATGATATAACATACTTATTTTTTATGCCAAATCGACTACAGTCTAACAAAAAAAATTTAACTTTCTTTCGCGACTGTATAAACTTTATAACATAAACACTAAAAAAAAGCAAAAATCAAGGCATTGTGACATAATCTATTAATTTCTTCTTTCAAAACTGTCATGGTCTTTTGTAATTCTAAAAATTGCTATTTTCTACAAAATCTCTGGAAACTCTGGCTGGATAAAAAATCCTAACGGAAACTTCAAGTGGAAAAATTGTTAGTGCTACATATTGTTCTCTGATAAATAAATAAGAACAAATGGAAGGAAAATGAAAATAATACATTAAATGAGTGCGGCAGTAGACAAATAGCTCCAAGAGAAATTGAATGAGTAATTGACTGAAGAGGTCCATGATTCATGGCTTTTACCACAATCAAAACATTCAATAATTCTCTTTGTTTGGTTTTTTCTTTATCATAAGACTTTATACATATATGTGTAAGATAATGTAACCCAACTGGATTTTGGATTCCAAAACGATGAAATTCTTTCTCTCATCTTTTGGTTATTTGGATGTGCAAATCTCACCAAACTATATATAGATTTGACAACTGTTAATATTATTATTTTTGTTCTATCGGGTCAATTTTCTCATCACCTATTTGATTGAATTCTCAATCATAGCACATGCAAGAGCAAGGCAAGTTCCAAGATTTTTTTTATAAAATAATGTAAAAAGGTGTAATCCATAAAACACCTAGAGAGAACGGAGAAGAATTAGCCTTTCACACTTAAGAATAACACAAGAACAAAAGTGAAAGAGAGTGGTTTAAAAGTGTGATCTGGAATAGATGGGCCACACGTAATATATTAGAAGGCAAATAATATACTATAAATACATGGATTTATATGGCATGCATGGTTATGTGAAAAGGTTTAGAGTAGTGAGTGCATAATTATTGGAAGTAGGACCAAACAACTCTTGACTTTTCATCCTTAAGGATTGGAATTAGGTTTGAATATGTTTTCTTAGCATAACCTCTTTTATTCTTATTCCATGCTTTTTCCTTCTCATATCCATGGACATAGCTAAAAAGTAGTAGTATACTTTTTTATGATTCCATAAGGTATGTATATGTACATATTCGTATATAAACGTTGCCTGTAAGGTAAGTGTGACATAGTATTTGAATTATTGGGATCTATCACGGTCAAATATGTGGAAACTTTCATTTGTGAATGGAATTGGTTGAAATATTTAACATGTGTGTAAGCAGCATGGAGAAATGTAAGCATGAGTTTAAATCTTTTTTTTTTGTTGAAAAATGTAAAAATCATTGGGAATATGTCAAAATGCATGCGATCAATGTATTTTTGAATTGTAGTACTCCAACATAATAAGTACTGTAATATTATTCAGTTAACCCTCTATTTTGGCTAATCTACCAGATTCCGTCATAAATCACCATTAATTTTCCACAAGATTCCAATAACATAATCCAGCATCGGTGTTTTAGTATTATAAATGATTCGATTCTATAAACAATATTAGCTGATTTGTTAAGCTTTTTTCATTTAAAAAGAGAATCCTTCCTTCCGATCTCATATGTTCAATTTTCAAAGATTAAAGATCGAAAACAAACAAAAAGATGAGTTTGCATCTTATTTTTTTTGGGAAACACCTCAAAGTTAACAAGAGAAAAAAAACAAAAAAAAAGAAGGGAGAGAATCTTGATCATACACATCTGAGAATGTAGCAACAATTTTTCATCACTAACAAGAAGAAAACGTCGAAAAGCAGAACCCCACCATCTTCACAGTTCCAGAGAAACCCCTGTCCAAATATTTCAGAGTATGAATTAGAACATCGAAGAATCAGGTGAAACAAAATCATTGACATGTTGAGAATATTAGACAAACATTTAGGGGTCTGTCTTTAGAGCAGAGAAACACACATTGCTGTCAAATCATGGTGGCAAAAGACAATGAACACAATATGAAAAAGGAATGAATCACACGGTATGTAAGAGTACTCAATGGCAAGTGAGAAGGAGAAGGAAGAGGAAACATCAACAGAATCTTTCTGTAGAAGTTGTGACACCCACATATATATATATATATATATATATATATAATCCACAAAAATCAACCAAGTGTATCTCTTGCAAAATCTTTAAAAGCAGAAGATATAGATGTTCAGACACAAGCGTGCTGTAATTTCACAATGCTTCGTAAAGATTTATGAGTAACGTAAGTGACTGTATGTAAGACACAATTTACAAGTTCACATATAGATCAAGCATAAGAAATTTTACGTTTAGAAGTGTGAGAACGTACAAAAACATATAGTAGCGAACCGAAGCAGTGTCCTGTGAATCAGCGAAACACTCTTAAATCCTTTTTTAAGAGCTTAGTTATAAGTAAGGAAAGGTTTCAGGAAATGGTGCTACTACTGAGTATTTCAAGAATAAAATATTAAGCTTTTGAGTGAAAAGGGAAACAACACGAAGCCTCTAAGACTATTGAAACAAAAATCTGCAAGAAAATCAACTCAATGATGGAACAATTGTGATATTTCTCTACCAGGATTGCTTTGCTACAGAACAATTGTGATATTGGGGTAAATGAAATTTCTTCAAGAAAGTGAATCCAATTGTGGTCAAATGTTCACGCGTGAGGGAAATTCAATATGACACAGTAGGAAAATGGAGAAATCACAGATCAAATCCAAGATAATGCATAAGAAATCTAACAGCAAAACAATTTCATTGATTCGCAATGAAACCTAAATCGAAAAATGAAATCACGAGGATCTAACCTGTTAAAGCCAATTCAATCAAATCACCCCAAAAACCGAATTAACACCCAGTTTCCGCTAAATAATCAATGAAATCGAGCGTTATAGACTAACCGGAAAGCTGGAAATCGGCAAATCGGAGATCGAATCGAGCCCTAAGCATTAGCGGTTTTAGGGATTAGAGGAACACCGTTCCCTTGTAGCTTATTCTGCTTAGCCTTGGCTTCTTCCTCACGGATCTTCTGCATCGCGAGCATTCTCTCCATGACGAGCTCGTATTCGCACTTCTCGTAGACGTGACGCTCGTCCTCGCACTTCCATGGAAGGAAAAACTCAGCCTGGCGACATTTGTTGAGCGGAATCAGGAGATGAGCGCACTGATCTCTGTAACCAAGCGGTACTTTAGCTGCAACCATCTCTTCCTGCGTTGCGATCATCTTCTTCGATGAACCTGGAACCTCCATTCTCGATATCAGTCGCGATTACCAAACCTCCTCTCAATACTCGTTTTTCCCCCTTTTCTCTTGGCGTCTCCGATTTGCTTGAACCGGACAAAGTCAGATTCTTCGTTCCGGGTCAATTTTTATGCCCGTTAAAAAATAGGCCCATTTGATTAAGCCCAAATTCAAGGGCCTTTTAGTAACTATTCGTACTTAAGAGAGTTTTACCTTCTCTGTATTTAATATTTCGACCCCTTCTGTGTAATAATAATATTGCAAATGCGACTTAAACTTTTGAAATTAAAAGAAAAAGTACACAACAATTTGTTCTTGTAATACACAAGTTTACACATGAAAAGAAGTGTGATGAAAGGAAATAGAGAAAACACATTCTTACTACGAAGCTTTCTTCTGCTTATACTTGGCCGCAGAGAAGAAGTAAACCGCCATGTTCACAAGGCTAAGACAAGCCAACAGCCAGAAGAAGTAATCAAGATGACCCGAATTCAGATTATCCGAGATCCAACCTTCTCCACCGTTCATCGTCGTGAAGTAAGTCACGAGCGTGAGGATCAACGAGCTCAAGTAATTCCCAAGAGCATTGGTCAAAAGAGCCAAAGCACTGCACAAGCTCCTCATCGCATCTGGAGACTGATCGTAGAAAAACTCGAGCTGACCGATGAAATAGAACACTTCAGCTGCACCGAGGATGAAGTACTGTGGGATCTGCCACAAGACGGATATAGGAACCGGAGCTCCTGACTCGACTAACCCGAGATCGTTGGCTACATGGAGACGGATGATCTCGACGATGGCTGCAGCCGCCATACATAGAACAGAGACGAAGAGACCGATTCCCATTCGTTGTATCTCCGTGAATCCTTTGTCTACTCCGGTGAACCGTCTTGCCAATGGGACGATGAACCGGTCGTAGAGAGGGACCCAGATGATGACGCTTGCCGTGTCGAAAGTCCCGAGTGCTGCTGGAGGAAGCTGGAAAGATCCGATTTTGCAGTCCATGGCTCTGCCTTGTTGAACAAACATCGTGGACATTTGAGCATACACAGCTGAGAAAATGATACCTGAAGCCCATATTGGGAACATACGGATCAGAATCTTGAGTTCTTCGACTTGCGTAACCGTGCATAGTCTCCACGAGTTGGAATAATCTCCAGATTTCGATTCTTCTTCTGAGATTACAGCGGCTTTGTCAAGATACCTGCATCATATAGATCATCCATGTTATAAACCAAGCAAAGCTATATATATATATATATATATATTTCCAAGAAAGAAAACGAAACAGATTGAAATATTTACTGGCAATCATCAGTATGTTCGATTTTTCGACTTCCAGCAATAGCAGAGTTCTTGTCTTGCGTTTCATACAGAAGCGTAGCGTCTTCAGGGGCTACGAGAGTCGATTTACGGAACGAGGCCACCACGACTTGGGAGATCCGAGTTATCGGGCTGCCTCCAGGTTTCTGAAACCTGTAAAGCGGTGTGCCAAAGAAGAAACTTGCAATGGCGAGTCCCATGAACACGGTTGGTATACCAAACCCTAAACCCCACCCTCGATTCTCTTGAATCCATACTAAAAGACTCGATGACACGAGTGCTCCGATGTTGATGGAGAAGTAGAACCAGTTGAAGAAGGAAGCTTTTCTAACTCGTTCCCGAGAGTCCGTGTCATCAAACTGGTCTGCACCAAAGGATGAGACGCATGGTTTGATACCTCCAGTGCCTAATGCTATCAGGTAAAGCCCGCCAAAGAACATCGCGTACTGAGATGGTGTTGCTGATGGACAAAACCCGCCAATGCATTCCGCAGGTTTCAATGCCGGAACCGAAGCTGAAAGAGTTAGTGCCGACATCCCCTAAACGAAAAGCCAAACAAAACCAATCAGTATACAGAGCAAACAACACCAAAAAATCAAATTTCACCCAACAATGACATATTGCGAAACTAGGATTTGAATGAACGTTTACTAACTGCTCTTTAACTAACATACGCAGCGATGATCTGCTACAATCACTCCTATCGTAGTTATAGTAGACCTATAGCTAAGTCTTGACCCATTCTCTCTTGGCTTAACACAAATTTAACTACAGAGTCATAGGTCCGGTGAAACCCATTGTTGCAGAAGTGCTTACGATGAAATAGATCCCGGAGAAACAAGCGATGGTCCAGTATCGTCCCCAGTAAGCATCGGCCAAGACAGCTCCGATGAGAGGAGTGAGATAACAAGTCCCTTGCCATGTGGTGACGTTTGTAGCAGCGGCGACGTTTCCTTGGTGTAGTTTAGTGGTGAGGTAAGTGATTAGATTCCCTGCGATACCATAGTAAGCTAGCCTCTCGCAGCATTCATTGCCTACAACATCAACGAAGATCATCTTCAAAGGTCAGAGAACAAGAGCAAGAAAACGAACTGTTTCTACATAACAAAAAGCAAAAGCACGAAAATAAAAGTGTTTTTCTTTACCGAGAATGAATGGGCAAGCTTTCCAGTTCCCTGTTTTCTCCTTCAATGGTGGGTTTCCGTTAAAGTCCACGGAACCGTCTTCTGCATACAATTTCGCTTCCTGGTGAAACAAAATCCAGAAACATCTTTAGTCAAAGACCAAAAACTCGTGAAAATCAAGCAAAAGTAGATTAGAATAGCGAAGTCTTTCTCTATTGAGAAGCAAATTTCATTTCCATTTCCAAATTTTCAAACATTTGAATCATCACCACCCAAAAAGGCTATCAGAGATTCACAGATACATATAAAACTCAGTAAGAACATTGTAACATTAGCAATATTGAAGAACTTGATTAGAGTATATATGCCCATAAACCAAGTCACTGCACACATCAAACTATGATCAGTAAGCCATTTGGATTTAGGGGAAAACAGATACATCGAAGACGATCAAAGACCTCCCACATAAACAGTGATTAATATCTCAATAAACCCCAGAAAGAAAACACATAAGATCAAATCAAGCTCAATACAAATTCAGCAAAATTGGGAGAAATGGTAACCCCCTTAAATAAAAAAATCAGAAATCCGATAACATAAATCGATTAAGGGAATTCAAGCCATGAGAAACTTCACGCGAAATTGATCAAACCTGTAAAATTAAACCTTCTTCGATGAGAGGTCTTTCTTCTTCAATGGAACCCATCGTTCTCGCTTCGAGCTAACCAATTTAGATTCCTTTACTTCTGAATCTTTTTACTCTTTATAATTTAATCAGAAGACGTGACGGATTATTATTTTACTTTTCCCGGCGACTTTTTTTAATGGGAAAATATTAAGCGAACTAATAAAGCAAGTAACAAAATTAACAATCTGATCTTTTACGATTACGATTTCTCTCTATTATTCGTTGACGTAAGATAAACTTGTGGATCAACTTGTCCATGTCACAAGTTGTATCACTGTAACCAAGAAAAAATGAATGTTTTTTCTTAAACAGCTAAAAAAAACTAAAAATGGTTAATATAAAAAGAACTGGCTGCTATATATAAATTACATTATTATGACCACATATTATGTGTATCTTTCTTAATATAGACAATATCCACTATGGTCTATGGACCATCTAAAATCAAAACAACAAATAATGAGATAACTTCCTTTTTTGGTTAGTCATGTTGTCATTTGACAGAAGGAAGCATATTAGTGAAATTATGAATAAGAGGACCAACTACCAAGGCCCACATTTAACATAAGAATTATAACGGCCCAATAGTATAAAATAACTCTCAATCATTGAACACATATGGCCCTAGAACCTTAAAAATTTTACATAATGAACCATAACTATAGACAAACCCAAATCATATTAGGAATTTGTACAATATAAAACAAAATCATGTCTCAAATTTTATGAGGATCAACAAAAACAAAGGAAAAATAATAATCTTAACACACTAAAGTCCCCAACACCAAAACAACAAACGACTATAACTTTCAATAAAGACCTGTAACTTTCATTTTGTAACAAATAGGCCAACAATGTTTAGTATTTTCATTTTGCATATTCTTCTATTTAGTAAAAAGTTATTTCGTTTTCATTTTTACTTTGATTGAATTTGAAAGTTAACTGTAGATAAAAACTAGAAAAACTAGTCGAAGTTGTGGGAACAAAATTTAGATGGAGCTCTATTTCTCATTCCATGAAAAGACCAATTAATTATTGAAAACCAATTGCCTATTCAAAATGTTTAAAATATGAAATTGGAAATTAATGGGGTTTATATGTTGTTTAAATTTGATATATATACTTAATAATGAATAATCATTTATTGCCATTACATACGACAATGTCCAACCAGGTGAAGAATAAACAGAATTTATTGTGAATTGACAGAATAGCATAAGGTTGGTGACAAAGTTTTTAAATAAATGTTAAGTACTAACCTTGTGCATAAGATTTATGAGTTAATAGAGCGAAAGGCAATGATGTGAAATGTAAACACTTTATAAATTGGGTTTCAATCACAAATACATTCCAATAATTAATTATATCAATTATAGTGAATTATTTCAGATTGTAAGTAATAATGGGTTTTTGAAAGTAAAATATCTATTTATAAAGGTTTAGAAAACTTTAAAAGATTTAGAATCCAGTTATAGACATTGTACAACCGATGATTGCTCAACAAAATGGTGAATCAAACAAGAAGATAAGGTATCAATGTTTATTTTAATTTGACTTTATTTTTTTTTTTAATTCTAAAGGTATCAATCTTTTTATTTGTTTACCTTATGCATGATGATCGAACGATAATGTTGAGGATAATGTTGGGGGCAATGAAATATGGGACTATGCAATGGGCCTGTATAACAGTTTCAATCGTATCAAAGAGGCACACATGTGCAGATTGCAAAAGGAGCTTCGAAGAAATGATTGATTCCACCAAGGTAAGAGTACTGTTTCGTCAACAAGTTAAAATATCTTTGAAAAAGTTTTTAATTTTCTTTTTGAATTTAACTAGAATTGGAGCCAGATGGAAGATGAAAAACTAAAAAATCTTCTGAAAAATCTAGTAGAAAAGACAATGTGGGGCACAATTTCTTCTTCTATAAAGAGACCTGCCGATTCTTGCATGGCACGCTTTGTGTTCTTGGTAAGTTGATTATTTTTTTGTATTTTTTTTTGTTGGCAAAACAATGAAGACTCTTTTTGTTTACGCTTTTATTGGGGTTTCAGATTTTTAAAATTGGAAAAATAGACGAGTCTTAGTTTCTTCTCGTTTTTCCTTCTCCTTCTCCTTAATTTCTGTTTTGAATTCCGCGTATGGCAGATTCCATTCAGATTTACGGTCCTATGCTTTATTAAATTTGTGATGAGATGAGTGAGATTTTTCTATGGTTTTCATTCAGATTTACTCATTGCGAAGCATTTGCGCCTTATTATAACTGGATCTGCCTCTTTTCCATACAATTGTTTTGACAGATGTCATTAGGTTAGGTTATATGGTTGTTCCATGAAATGTTTTTTTTTAAAAATGATTTCCATGAAATGTTTCATTTTGTGGTGCCACAGATTTAATTATTTGGTTTAGCTCGATTTAAAACGTATTTGGATCTGTTTGTTTTCGAGTCCTGTAGTACCGATTGTTTCATTTTCCCAAATTCGAACTCGCTTTGGGTTTCATTATAGCGGTTGCGCATCATGCATGGGGTAATATGTTTTTGCAAAGATTTGTATTTTCTCACTGATCACGAGTGTATATTATTTGAATTTCGCTCTGCTTTAAAAGCTCTGCTCTAAGTCAAGTTTATTTGTTTTTAAAAACTATATGCCTGAGCTCTATCTGCATGAAGTCTGAGCCATAAATGAGTCTTCTTTGATAATTATTACCCATGAAACTATTAAGATTGAAGTTCCTTCAAGCCAATTAAACCTTTCTCTGTTATTTCTCTTTGAAACAAATACATCTGAACCAGAGATACATAAACTGCATCAGCAGCAAGCTAAACCCTCAAATTAAAAGCTCAGCAAAGTTGCAAGATATCAGATATAACTGGTAATCAGATTGAATTCACACCAAAACCGAGTGCCAAATTATCAACCAGATCAAGTTCTCGTACCAACCGTAACGGAACCATCTCAACGATAGCTGCAGCTGCCAAGCTCAAAACAGAGACGAAAAGTCCAACCCCCATACGTTGTAGATCAGTGAATCCTTTAGCTAAACCTGTGAATCTTCAAACAAAGGGAACGATAAGTCTATCGTAGATAGGGACTGATATGAGGATACTAACATACCGAGAGTACCGTGAGGGATCTCGAATGAGATTATGGTTCGCCTCATGGACCGTCCTTGTTGAACGAACAGAGTTTTGTGTTATTCATTTTATCTTTGTTTTAAAATCTGATGTCATTGGTTCATTGATGTATAAATTTATTATTTATTCTTACGATGAAAATGTATGAATATAATTAGTAGAATTCTCTTCTTTATAAGCTTATAGATCATTAGATTTTAGAAGAGAATTCATGGATATAATTATAAACCATTGAAAATATATGGCTATGGTTGTAAGCTTTTGAAAGAATTAAGAAGAAAGATTTCTAAGTTGTTTTTCTTTATAAATACCCGAGATCAAGAAGCAACCAAGAAGTAAAAGGAAAAATAGTCAAAAAGCGCTTTTTGAAAAGCTAACGAAAGAACCAAGAAGATGATGGACGGATGCATGATAATGAAGAAGAAGACACTATTCCAATATACATATGTGTGTATTATAAATCAAAGATAAACCTCTCTCTCTCCTGATTTGTGTTCTTCTTTTTTTAATAAGCCATGCATGATCTTCAAAAGTATGTAGCTAAGGCCCCTCTCTGTCATATTTTATTTTAATGTCAAAGAAAGAAACCTTTTTAAATATTTTTTTTGTAGTTTTACGGTTTGAGTGTGACTCGTAACGCTGAAATGTGCAAAACCATTTAACCTCTTTTAACTGGTTTCAATAGGTTTTTTTGGGGTACGAGTTTAATTTCAAACAGGGGAGGGGAGGGGAGGGGGGACAACAAACAGCTAATCGGTTTTCACATTTCATCTCATTTTATCATCTCAGATTTCGATTACTTTTAGTCATATTTGGATACGAGTATATAATTTCAAACGGGAAAAAGAAACAAACGGCTACTTTTTAATTTACTAAGTCAGTTAGTTATGTATTTCACATTTCATCTCATCTCATCATTATATTATATAACCTGTCTCCATTATTTTTCATCTCGTCATCTCATTATTAATGTCTTCATCATTCGCTTTTTCTATCTCTCTCAGATTTCTTTACAAAAATCATGTCAAAGAAGAACGGATCCATGCATGCTGATGATCGTGCTCTAATAATTGGTGTGATGAAGTATATGAGACATTGGATTGGGAGCGTATTGCAGTATCATTCTTATTTAAGAGGCACTTAGGTGCAGCTGATTGCAAAAGGAGGTTCAACGAGATACTGGATTCAAGTAAGGTAATTAAGCGACGATGGATTAAAATTAACAAGATTTTTTTTTAAAAAAATGTATATAATTTTAGTAAATCTACACAAATGTCAAGTGCCAACCTTGTACAAACATTATATGAGTTAATAGAGCTAAATGCAATGTTGTGAAATGTAAACTCTTTATTAATTACATTTTTATTGCAAATACATTTCAACAATTAAATCAATTATAGTGAACTATTTTAAATTGTTAGTAACAATGGTTTTTTTAAAGGTAAAATCTATATATATAGTTAGAAATATTATTGAGATAATTTCAGAAATTTGAAAAGTTTAGGAAACTTTATAGCTTTTTAAGGCTATAACTTTTTGATTTAGATAAAGTTAAAAGAAAAAACTGTTTGATGAAGGTTATGAATATAGAAACTTCAGTTAGTGTGTTTAAATAATTTGCAAACATCAAACTAAAGTTGACCCAATGATACTGAAGTTATTATACCATATATATATATTTAATAAAAAGTTCCAGTTTGTATTTGCTGCCTTTTTTTCAAATCTTTTTCAAATTTCTACAACCCAAATTTTAGATTAGCCAATTGAACAACAGTAAAATTTAAAATAATTGATTACTAATACTCAATCCAATAATATATGTCTCCACACTCCACCAAATCAAGATCTCGTACCAACCGCAACCGAACCGTCTCAACCATAGCTGCAACCGCCAAGCTCGAAACAGAGACAAAAAGTCCAACCCCCATACGTTGTAGATCAGTGAATCCTTTAGCTAAACCTGTGAATCTTCTCACAAAGGGAACGATGAGTCTATCTATCGTATACTGGAACTGATATGAGGACACTTGCAGTGTCGAACATCCCGAGAGTAGCTGGAGGGATCTCGAAGGAACCAATGGTTCATCTCATGGACCTTCCTTGTTGAACAAACAAAGTGTATATCTGTGAATGAAGCACTGAGAAAACGATCCCTGAGGCCCAAATGGGGAACAAACGCAACAGAATCTTGACTTCTTCGACTTGAGTTACGGTACAAAGCTTCCACGGATCGTATTTTGTGTCTCCTTCTGAGATAATCGCTGCTTTGTCAAGAAACCTGCACAGTGATATGAAAAACAGATTAATATAAAACCAATGAAGAACAGTATAATGATCAAGTCAAATAGAGAAACTAGAGGGCATAAGATTTTCTTGTAACCGTCCGTGTGTTCAATCTTCCGCTTTACATCCGTTATTTCGAACAGAGGTGTGTGGTCTTCTTCTTCATGGACATTGAGGTTCCATCTACGGTATGAGGCTACAAGAACTTGGCAAGATCGAGTTATAGGGCTGCCTCCAGGTTTCTGAAACCTATAAAGAGGAGTGCCAAAGAAGAAACTCGCAGTAGCAAGTCCCATGAACACTGTTGGTATCAAGAATCCAAGTTCCCAACCACAATTCTCTTGAATCCACACTAGCAAAGTAGATGAGACAAATGCACCAACGTTGATTGAGAAGTAGAACCAATTAAAGAAAGAAGCTTTTCTGACACGTTCCTTTGGATCAGTCTGATCAAACTGATCAAACTAAAGACACATGGTTTGATTCCTCCGGTTCCAAGAGCGATTAGGTAAAGCCCTGAAAACAAAACCGCTTGCTGAGCCATTGTTGCTGGTGGACAAATGGAGCCTTTACATTCCGTTGGCTTCAGAGTTGGAACTGAAGCTGAGAGTGTTAATGCAACCATTCCCTTACAAAACAGATTCAAAGTACAGAACATCAAGCAAAAGAACATAACCAAAACATTTTGATAAGAACAGAAGCTTTGAAACTTCTTTAACTAACATACACAGCTATAATCTGCTACAATCAGTCCTATAGATGAACCATTTTGCTTATGGTAATGCTTACGCTGAAATAAATCGCAGAGAAGCAAGCAATTGTCCAGTATCTTCCCCAATAAGCATCAGCTATTAGAGCTCCAAGAAGAGGAGTGGTGTAACATGTTCCTTGCCAAGTCATGACGTGTCTAGCCGCAGAAACATTGGTCTCATGCAATTCGTTTGTGAAGTAAGTGATTAGATTCTTGGCAATGCCATAATAAGCCAAACGTTTGCAGCATTCGTTGGCTGCACCAAAGCAAGACCGGATTTTGGAAGTTTAAGACAGGACATGAGAGGATCATAAGCATTGCAATTGAAGATAAAGAAAGTGTTTTTTTTACCAAAAATGAATGGGCAAGCTTTCCAGTTTCCTGTTTTCTGCTTCAATGGTGGGTTTCCATTAATATCCACTGAACCATCTTCAGCATACAACTTCACTTCTTCCTGGAAGAAAATTTTAAGCAATTCTTCAGACTATATTTTTCTCTTTTTTTTGTTTGTGTTCAAAATTCTTCAGACTATCTTGAGGGATAAGAGACTACAACAAGTGGAACTGAAGAAATGATTATACATGGAGACATGAGGTTTGTACCTGTAAAAGAGATTCTTCAACTTCAAGGAGTGATCTTTCTTCATCAATGGAACTCATCTTTTTTACTTTCGCCTGAACATGACAACAACTTTCACACAAGCTGATTTAAGCATCTCTACGAATAATCAATTAAAAAAATGATTCTCGCACTGGCCAAGTTGTTGGTGTGAGTGGTCGGTCACTCACCAGTCACCACAGAATCACATTCTTTAGTTTTGAAGTTTTGATACAGTTTTGTCTACAAAAATATTGTGATTAGTTTCTATTCCATTTTTTGAATCAGAGTGATTGGATTTGTATGGCTTATATATTAGTGGGTTTCTTAATAATATATGTTGTGCCAATCCAAAACTTCCAAAATGAAATAAAATATACATTTTTTTTACTGCAAATATGCTTATAAACACATGTTAGATGTTGGCAGAAAAAAGTAAACACAATAACACATGTAAAAGTCGAAACAAATACTAGTATATATATTTTCCAACGTCCTAGTCAAAAGAAATAAGTAGACACAATTAGGATGCAAACTCCGACCATTAATTAATTAATTTAAATTTTTTGGAGGGCTGTGTATTAATTTGGCGAGTTCTTAGAAAGAAAAGAAAATTGACCTTTTCAAAATTGGTGTTGCACTTGCGTTGCATGCCATTAATTAAGCAAAGTCAGATCTTCGAAAAGGTAAACCGGCAACCCGTAACCGCCGGTATAAGCTTGTTCGTCTATTGGCGTCTCCTTCTGCCGATTCCCATTGACTAACGCGTTAAAAGTGACTGATGAGACAACTTTTTTCTCTCTTTTTGCGTCTACCACAAATGAATAAATACTATCTGATTGTAAAATACTAGCAAAAAGAATGCACTCCTTCTGATGATATAACAAAAACGCATTTAGTTAGTATTCTGACAATAACAAAAGCTTCAATGAAAACCTAACATCTTCACTTTGTGTAAATAATATACGTTCTACTTTTGATCGACAGTATTTCATGGTAGTTTTAAAAATGTTATTTGTTTGTTGAAAACATGGTAGTATATTGTTTGTAGGGCAAATGGGGGATATAGCATATGAAATTAATAATTATAAATTCTAATCAACTGTTAATTTAGAGGTTTATTGACAAAAGATAGCTAGGATGTAGTTTTCATCATAGTTAATTAACTCAAGCATAGAGTCGTCTAAAGCTGTGGGAAGCTAACTTGATTAATTGTCCATGGATTTGATGTATATTTCATTTTTTCTACTATACTTTAGAGTTTAGATATTATTATATACGCGAAAGGTTAATATTTATCAACGCCACCAAAATTGTGATTGTTACTTTATATATTTTTAAAAGTATAATTGGTAACAAGAAATTATAAAAACTATGACTATAAATTTTTTTTTTCTAAATTATAAATGTTATATTTTTAATTTGTTATAAATATCATTATGTAAAAAATAATTTTGATCTTTTATTAAAATTTTTTACATGCATAACAAAAAATTGAAAATTGATTAGTTATTTGGAAAAATAAATCTTTATAAAGAGAAAAAATATCAATAATTAATAATTTTATTTATTATAAAAATAAGTAAAAGTAATTAAAAACTGTGGTTTATTCCTATTTTCCATACTTTCTAATTTATAATACTACAGACAACATAATAATAAAGTAATGTAAAAATATGGTGATATGGATTTTTTTTAAAAAAGGAAAAAAGTATAATAATTAATCTATCTAAAAAAAGTTGTGATAAAATCAATATAAATTTAGATATAGATTTTAGTTACTATGAGAAAAAGAAAAAACTCTATTTTAATAAAAAAAGGAAATAAAAAGATTTTTTGGTTTTCACAGCCAAGTTTAAAAGACTTTAAAAAGACAATACAAAAGAAAGGAAAAAAACTGAAACTGACTGTGAAAACTTTAAAATGAATAAAAGTAGTAAAATCATAATTGATAAAATAGAAGCTGTGAAGACTGTTTAACTTCCTACAGTTTCTACAGCATCAATGCCAATAGGAAACTTTTCTCTGTTACTTCTCTTTGAAACAAATACATCTGAACCAAATATACATAAACTGCATCAGCAGCAAGCTAAACCCTCAAATTAAAAGCTCAGCAAAGTTGCAAGATACGAAATCACAATTCAATTCCTTGAACTAACTATATAACTGGTAATAAGATTGAATTCACACGAAAACCGATTGCAAAATTCTCAACCAGATCAAGATCTCGTGCCAACCGTAACCGAACCGTCTCAACGATAGCTGCAGCTGCCAAGCTCAAAACAGAGACGAAAAGTCCAATCTCCATACGTTGTAGATCAGTGAATCCTTTAGCTTGACCTGTGAATCTTCAAGCAAAAGGAACGATGAGTCTATCGCAGATAGGGACTGATACGAGGACACCTGCAGTGTCGAACATCCCGAGAGTAGAGGGATCTCGAATGAGATTATGGTTCGCCTCATGACCGTCCTTGTTGAGCGAACAGATTTGTGTTATTCAAATTTTTTGAAATATTCTCATTTTGTCTTTGTTTTACAATCTGATGTTATTGGTTCATTGATGTATAAATTTATTGTTTATTCTTACGATGAAAATGTATGAATATAATTAGTAGAATTCTCTTCTTTGTATGCTTATAGATCACTAGATTTTAGAAGAAAAATTATGAAAATAATTATAAACCATTGAAAATATATGGCTATGGTTGGGAATTTAGATCATTGATGATCTTATTCTTATATGAATGTGACTTTATTATAAGGTTTGTTTCTTAAGGATATTTCGAAACCGAAGGCATCATTATACACGTGGAGCATGAGACAGAGACGAAACGTGCACATCGATGCAAATAGTGGTAGTTTCGTAAATATGTAACAGGAATCGAAGTCTGTGGATTTGTAATGTTTCTGAATTTGGATATTTGATCTTTATATTCATCGTTCTCACTGTCTCTCTCAAGCTTTTCCAACTATAGATTGTAGACGATGCAGAGAAAGAAAAAACACCGGCGTTGGATCTAGCGGCGAAGGCGGAGGTCATTTCGGAAACGTCGCCGTTCGGCTCCTTGCCGGAGGACTGCATCTTATTAGAGATAATGACCAATGTATATTCTAGGATTTGAATGTATCTCATGTCATGTTTATAAGCATATAACCGGACAAAGATACACTTTCCTCTTCACTCCATTGGTAGACTTCTGTTTGAGCTTCCATGGGCGATTGCGTCCTCTTCGGTGAAGCTGTAGATTTTGTTCTCTCTGAAACCCTTTGTTGCATACTCATCGCATACGAATCTGGTTGTAGCAATTAGTGAGATCCAAACTGTTAATCTACGGGGTCTAAATCAAGACAATGATACGAACAATTACAAACATGCATATCAGAAGAAAACCAAATCTCACATATATATAAAATAATGGCCTGTCCATAATAATGAAATCTTGATACGAGTGTAAAAAAGAAGAAGAGTTAGGTTTACTTATTTCTTTCCTATAACGGTTTTTTTTTTCTTTCTCTCAAAGCTTAGTTATCGTGATTTTAGAGAAAAACATATTGATATATATATATATATATATATATATATAAGAGATACCTGCTTGGGTTTCCAGGTTGGTTTCTTCGTTTCTTGGCTGGTGGAGCTGAGGAGTTAGGTTGTTGAATCATTGACATGAAAGTATCTTCCCGGTCAAAGTCGTTATCTCCAGGGCTGGAGCCGGTGATGAAAAAAGGCTGAGCAGAGGATGATGATGAAGCGGAGTAACGCTTGTATTATATGATGATAACGACATCTCTAGACCTTCTTCTTAGCTTGGAAGAGAATAATAATCTACAAATATTCCATATAAAAAAAGTTAAAAAACACTGCGAAAGAATTCAAATTATCGCTTCAGACGAAAACGATGGGAGGAATTAAGAAAAAGGAAGAATCCATATACATTGACGACATGGGGAACTTTTATAAAAACGATTCACTAAAAGACAAACCCTTTCGCCAAAAAAAAAAAAAATTCACTTAAAGACATGAAGGGAACAAAGAAAAACAGATCAAGGTTTATTTTTATTTTTTTCTAAGCTTTTGAAAGAATTAAGAAGAAAGATTCTAAGTTGTTTTTCATTATAAATACATGAGATCAAGAGGAAAGCAACTAAGATGTAAACGGAAAAATAGTCAAAACCTATAAATCGAAGCTAAAGAAAGAACCAAGAAGATGATGGATGGATGCATGATAATGAAGAAGAAGACACTGTTCCAATATACATATGTGTATTATAATTCAAAGATAAACCTCTCCCTCTCTCCTGTTTTGTGTTCTTCTTCTTTTAATAAGCCATGTATAATCTTCAAAAGTATGTAGCTAAGGCCTTCTCTGTTATATTTTATTTTAATGTCAAAGAAAGAAACATTTATTAAAAAAAATTGTAGTTTTACAATGAAGATGAATGATGGTTACGGTTTGGGTGTGACGCTGAAATGTGCAAAACCATTTAACCTTTTTAATCGGTTTTAATAGGGTTTTTTTGGGTACAAGATTAATTTTAAACGGGGTGGAGGGAGGGGGAGGGAAGAAAAAAACAAACGACTAATCGGTTTTCACAATTCATCTCATCTCATCATCTCAGGTTTCGATCATTTTTAATCATATTTGAATACGAGTATATAATTTCAAACGGTAAAAAAGAAATAAACAGCTACTTTCTAATTTACTAAGTGGGTTAGTGGTATATTTCATATTTCATCTCATCTTATCATTATATTATATAACCTGTCTTCATCATTCTTCATCTCATCAATACTGTCTCCATCATTCGCTTTTCCATCTCTCTCAGATTTTTTTTATAAAAATTATGTCAAATAAGAACAGGTCCATAAATGCCGATGATCATGCAATAATAATTGGTGTCATGGGACATTGGATTGGGAGTGTATTGCAGCATCATTCATATCCAAGAGACACTTAGGTGCAGCTGATTGCAAAAGGAGATTGGAAGAAATCATTGATTCAAATGTTAAGTACCAACCTTGTGCAAACATTTATGAGTTAATAGAGCCAAATGCAATGTTGTGAAGTGTTAATTGCGTTTTTATTGCAAATACATTCCAACAATTAATCAGTTATAGTGAACTATTTCAAATTGTTAGTAACAATGGTTTTTTTAAAGGTAAAATCTTTAAAACTAAATCTCTATATATAGTTAGAAATATTATTGAGATAATCTCAGAAATTTGAAAAGTTTAGGAAACTTTATAGCTTTTTAAGACTATAACTTTTTGATTTAGATAAAGTTAGAAAAAAAACTGTTTGATGAAGGTTATGGGAATAGAAACTTCAGTTAGTGTGTTTAAATAATTTGCAAACATCAAACTAAAGTTGATCCAACAGAGAAGTTAGTATACCATATATATATTTTTAATAAAAAGTTCCAGTTTATATTTTAAATCAATATATCTAACTGACTAGATATATAAAAATTTTAACTACGAAGCTATGGATTATTTGCTGTCTTTTTTATTCAAAATAATTTCAAATTTCTACAACCCAAATTTTAGATTAGCCAATTGAACAACAGTAGAATTTAAAATAATTGATTACCAATACTCAATCCAATAAAATATGTATTTACAGGAAAATATATAAAACAAATAATTAGATAACAGTTTTAGAGTTTTAGAGTAAACCTAATTCATTTCCCTTAACTCTCAAAGTCTTACAATAAAGCCCACAGTGTTTCTTATTTAACAATTTTTCTTGATATACTAGTGGATTACAACCTTAGGAAACCTTCTTTTGTGTGTACTTAACAGAGAAAAAGACAAAAACTGGAATGTTGATACAACCAAGACAGACCAAAAGCCAGAAGAAGTAGTCAAGATGGCCTATGTTAAGGTTGTCTGAAGGAATCCAGCCATCATTTTTCCCGCTCAAATACGCGACAGTGGTAACGATCATCGAGCTCAAGTAGTTTCCGAGTGTAGTAGTGAGAAGAGCCCAAGCACTACACATACTTCTCATCGAATCTGGAGACTGCTCATAGAAAAATTGAATCCGACCAACGAAGAAGAAAACTCCAGATGTGCCCATAAGAAAGTACTGAGGGATTTGCCAGAAGATACTCAACGGAACAGTGTCTCCACTCTCCACCAGATCAAGATCTCGTGCCAATCGCAACCGAACCGTCTCAACAATAGCTGCAACCGCCAAGCTTAAAACAGAGACAAAAAGTCCAATCAGTGAATCCTTTAGCTAAACCTGTGAATCTTTTCACAAAGGGGACGATGAGTCTATCGTATACTGGAACTGATATGAGGACACTCGCAGTGTCGAACATCCCGAGAGTAGCTGGAGGGATCTCGAAGGAGCCGATGGTTCGTCTCATGGACCTTCCTTGTTGAACAAACAAAGTGTATATCTGTGAATGAAGGACTGAGAAAACGATCCCTGAGGCCCAAATGGGGAATAAACGTAGCAGAATCTTGACTTCTTCGACTTGAGTTACGGTACAAAGCTTCCACGGATCGTATTTTATGTCTCCTTCTGAGATAATCGCTGCTTTGTCAAGAAACCTGCACATTGTTATGAAAAACAGATTAATATAAAACCAATGAAGAACAGTAAAATGACCAAATTGTCAAATAGAGAAACTAGAGGGCAGAAGATTTTCTTGTAACCGTCCGTGTGTTCAATCTTCCGCTTTACATCCGTTATTTCGAACAGAGGTGTGTGGTCTTCTTCTTCGTGGAAATTGAGGTTCCATTTACGGTATGAGGCTACAAGAACTAGGAAAGATCGAGTTATAGGGCTGCCTCCAGGTTTCTGAAACCTGTAGAGAGGAGTGCCAAAGAAGAAACTCGCAGTAGCAAGTCCCATGAACACTGTTGGTATCAAGAATCCAAGTTCCCAACCACAATTCTCATGAATCAATGTTGATTGAGAAGTAGAACCAGTTAAAGAAAGAAGCTTTTCTGACACGTTCCTTTGGATCAGTCTGATCAAACTGATCAGCACCAAAGGATGAGACACAGGGTTTGATTCCTCCTGTTCCAAGAGCGATTAGGTTAAGCCCTGAAAACAAAACCGCTTGCTGATCCATTGTTGCTGGTGGACAACTGGAGCCTTTACATTCCGTTGGCTTCAGACTTGGAACTGAAGCTGAGAGTGTCAGTGCAACCATTCCCTTACAAAACAGATTCAATGTACACAACATCAAGCAAAATAACATAACCACAACAGTTTGATAAGAACAAAAGCTTTAAAACTTCTTTAACTAACATACACAGCTATAATCTGCTACAATCAGTCCTATAGATGAACCATTTTGCTTATGGAAATAATTTCTCAGCTTGGTGTTGACTTTTAATCAAAAGGAAAAATCATATTCAAACACCTCTTTTTTCCATTTCAATCTCTTCAAACAATAGTAGTCATCAAGTTATTTTTTGTTTTGTGTGTGTTTATTATTCACATTGATATGTAATTATAGGTAGACATCATAAACGTTTTAACTTTTAATTGACATAACAAAATGTTTAATTCAAACAAACCATACCAACCTGATAAATAAATATATATGTCAGAAAGCCGAACGGGGCTTTTAATACGCATTCCCTAAAATGAAACATGAATTCTATCAGAAACCAGAATCATACCAAAGTGATCCATCTTGTATTATTGATCCCAATTTCTCAACTATATTTTCAAAACCAAATAACTTAAACAAAAGTTGAATTAAAGTTTGAATTCAATTTTGAACTAAACATCTCTAACAACAACTATTCAGAATTTTCACCGAGCACGATCATTATTAATGATTTTTAAGTTATTGCAAAAATGCGATAATCGAACCAATTAAGTTGATTAAATTTGTATGACTCCATCCAGTTTAATTATTTGACCACTCCTAATAAGATCCCCGTTGATTGGATATTTTCTGTGGTTGTTAATAATTTTTAGTTTTCTAAAACGAGTTTTTTTCAATAAAAGTTTTTTGGGTTTGGATTCTTTAATTGGCGGCTCTCACAACACCTAAAGAAAATCACATTCAAATTATACATAACAACTTGAAAATGCTAATTTTATTATATATTTTATCCGACCACCTTTATCGTAATTGATTTTCATAGAGAATAATAATAACACTATTTGTTGCATGTGAAAAAGCAGGGCTATTTTATTTTAGTTAGGTGTTGTAAATAAAAGTAAAAAAAAAACAATATTAAAACAATCGACTATTTACTTACGACTTACGAGCCCAAAAACCAAATTCTACTATTCTCTCGACAAAATATATATCCTTTCAATGATCTTTCATTATGCTGTCATAAGTTATATACTTTTAATACTCAATCAATAGTATACCAGGTGTTTCCCCCCACTTTGTGCGGAGTTCGATTAAATTTTTAAAAAAATATAACATGAATTTATTTATAGATAAAAAATCAGATTTTATAATAATTCGAAACCAAACTTAATATATTTTAGAAAAATATAATTTTCATGAGTATATTGTTTTTGTGACAAAAAAAAAATTATTTATATCTTATTTTCTAATATCTTTTATATTATCCATTAAAAACTTATATGTATGCTTTGTTGTTTTGTTGCATTGATCAAACATGATAAATAATTCTCTGATTTTGATATAAATTGGTAGATTAAAATTGATGAAATTCAATGTTTGCATTAAAAAAAAATATAGCAATCCAAAATGACCAAAACCAAATGATCCTTATTTCATATCAACTTAACATTAATTAATATATATATATATAGTTTTAAAAGTGCTTAAATGATTTAGGGTTTTACTTGTAGTCGCATAAATCAATTAGAT